AAAACAACATGCCCCTATCGGGGCCCCCCCCCCCCCTGAGAATTCACCGTATATTTGTTGCCTTAATTTTTAATTCAATGAGTATGATGATTGTTAGCAGCTATTAGTATTATTGTTTTCTTGTAGGAATAAGTGTTGTTGATGTTTTCGAGTTGTTGTTGTTGTTGTTGTTGTTGTTGTTATTATTATTATTATTATTATTATTATTATTATTATTTGTTGGTATATCAGATATTGTTGGATCAAGTTCAAATTCGACCAGTAGCGAAAAATGATCCGATGGAACATTTGGATGTGGACAACCAACAATTTTATTGGTTTGTAACCATTCAGGATCGAGGGGCCCCAATACCCCGAGAACACGCATTAGTTGAGATGAGAAAAATACATAGTCAATAATACCTTTAAAATCATATCTAAATACAAAACAGCATTTGAAGTCAAATATAGAAATGAAAATTTTCAGCAACATACGTATAATTTGTATAAGGCATAATAGGCGATGATGTTGTTTCGTATGCTGATTGTAATTTAAAATGATGTATTATATCTGTACTTTGCGTTGAATTAGCATCCAAACGACTAATTTTTTGTAAATACGATTGATACGAAAGATCTTTGAAATCTGCATGATTCATTGAAATTTTTCCATTGCGCATAAATTCAATAACACCTGACAAGCAAATACAGAGTAAACAAAAATCTTATTTTGCATGCGATTTTTCTATTTACCTGAGTCAGGTAATGAATTAAAATCACCGCACAGCACTAATGGTACAGACGTACAATCGATTAATGAATTGGAAATTTTTCGATGCTTTTGAATAGCATCTTCCATAATTGATTTCAATTCGGATAATAACATCAATGTTTGAATTACTTTTACATCGCAATACTCTGGATCCCAATGAATATGAGCTGTACAAACAAATAACATCTGTTTATGATCAGTCGGTAGAATACCTAAGATAAACAATCAAGATGAAAGCTTGTTTGTGATAATCGAATATTTTATTGTTTTTTTTTACCATTGGAAAATGAATGAGAATAGATTTCTTCTTTTGTTTCAAGCAGTGCAACAAGACCAATATTATCTTTAGTCATAACGCGATTCATCATATCATGACATGCTGGACCATTGGCAGCTAACATTGCTAACTGATTAAATTCGACAAGATAATCTTTGACCAGACGAAATCTTTATGTAGAATAGAAAATTGAAAATAAAATGAAATTTTTTGTCAAAAAAGTCTTTTTTCTTACTTTGATTGACGATAAAATATCGCACAACCATCAACAAAACGACGGTCTTGTTCACACATCGTTTTTGCCCGTGATTTCGGACTAAATACACCGTCATAACCAAGTTTTTGTAATTCAGGTAGAAAGTATAAATGATATTGATCAGTTTCGATTTCCTAAAACATTTACATCGATGTTAAATTCATTCGTTGATTTGTTTTCAAATCATCGTTTTTTCCTATTTATCTATGAGAAAATTTTTAATTTAGAAGAAAAAAGCGTTCTTGTGATTTCAATCATAATTTCTCTCATAGATCTCGAATTTATCTTGTGATTCATCTTTTACGTTGAATCTATTTATAAGAAAATTTGACGTCATTAGGGTACAAATCATTCTACGATGTTAAATATTAAATATGGCACATCAAAAAACAAAGACAATATGTGACATCTTCGGCTAGTTTTACTAAGATTTTTTCAATCGCTGACTAAATAGAAACTGGAAGGTTTACTTGATGGGATACGGTGTTTTTTAAATGATGTCAAGAAAATATTCTTCGAAGCAGTAAATCTAACAAAACAAACCTGTAGAGCAATAATATCAGCTGAATATGAACGTATTTCATCCAGAATCTGCTTTCTTCTATAATCCCAATTTAATGCCCACGATGGGCAATAACCATAGACATGTCTTGTTGCATATTTATCACAAAGTATATTATAGTTCATAACTGTAAAGATCGCTGTTGACTGCGTTGCGTTCGGTGATGCTAAACGAAGCCATGATCTTGTTGGTGGCGATTGAATAGCTAAAATCAGAAAAATTATATTTCCATTTTTTCCATGTCAATGTAGGAAGAAAAAAAATAATAATAAAGCTCAGATTGCCACGAGTTAGTTAGATTAGGAGAAAATTCTTTTATGATAATTTTATTTCTTTTTGTTCTCTCACACTCTATTTCTATTGCTGGTATCATACATCGAAGATAATACGATGGAAAATGTTCAACGGCCTCTACAATTGAATTATCATCGAAATAGATCGATGATACATTATTATCGTGATTTAATTTTGTAAAATATGAATCAGGATAATTAAATATTAGATTTGTTTGTTCAATCCACAAGTTATTAATATTATCTGCATCAACATAATATAGATCATTGCTAGTGTATTGATTAAATGAATCCATCATAGAATAGGACGGCCAATAGTTCATTGATGAACATTTACAACGATTTGTATTTGGTATTACGGTTGTTGAACAAGTACATTTAATATTATTATGATAGTCTACACTAATATTTACATTGAGACCAGTTAAATCAACAGAGAATCTAACTGGTGCTGGTAATGACGTGTCGTAATACCGATTATTAAAACGATGTTTTTGTTGTCGATTCGAATAATATTTTGCACGTGAATTATATTTAATACGTTTAGATTGACAATTTTCACAATGATTCAGTGGTGTATAACGTCGTATAGGATACGAATTAAAACGATTACGTTTACGATTAGAAAAATTTTCTTTGTCACAATGACAAATAATCAAATCAGGCGATGCGCTAATAGTATTATTAGTGTTATTATTTATTGATAAAATCTTTTTATTTGATAGACGAGTTTGATTATTGAAATTCGTTTGAAGTTCAGACGAAGATGATAAAGACGACAGATTACTAATACTTGAACATGGAGATGTCGAAGAAGATAACGATGACGACGATGATAATGATATACGACGCGGCGATGATGATGATGTTGGATTATTGATATTTTCTATTGAATATGACAATGATGACTCATCAAAATCGAATGTAATTGGGGATGAATCTGCTTGTGGTGACAATATAGACTGCATGGATTGCAGCTCAAGATCAGTACCACTACTGTAATCAGATGTTTCCGATAACAGTGGAACTTTAGCATCACTAGAGTTTATAAGAAAAACACATATTAATAATTGATCTTTTTTTCCTGAAATGTTCATTTAATTCTAATAAATGATACAACCAAATGTTGCCAGTTGATTTCATCTTAGCTAAATACCGTCTGTCGAAAATTTTTATGATCTATTTAACAATAACTCATTGCTCTTCTATTCTTGTCTGTACTTTCACTACCGTTGCAATTAGTAAGCTAGGCTATTCTCGGTACAAAACTTCGTATGTCTTCTCGGAACGAGGGTAATGTCAATCTGTCTAGTACTCCCTAGGGTAGAGGAAGTCGCCTCCAGTTACACTACTAATATATACGAATTGACTATGAGCCTGGATTTCCATTTGAGATAATAAAAAAAGGAAACTTTTCCCCAGCAATCTAGCGATTTCTATACTCCGATATTGTGTCGCGCCATTATTATTATTATGGTATGATTTTTATTTAAGATGGCTTTTATTGAATAAACAATTTTCTAAGATTATTCTTTCATTATTTTATTGCAATCGAGTTCATTTATCTTTTTTTGTGTTCATGAAGCATTTTTAATGAGCTGAACACACCACATGTCGAAAACACGTAACTAAAAATATTCATGCGAACAGCATCGTCTAGGTGCTGCTTTATTTTAAAATAAATGATGTCACGACATGATATCTTATCCCTAAGAGAAACTTCCGTTGTTAGCTACTAATCAATATGAATTAATTTTCTAGGTGCTATTGAAATGAAAGTAGTACATTTTCATCTTTTATTAACATTTACCTTGATGTCAACTCTTGTTTTTTTTCTAACAATAATGAAGTCTGTCGAGTACAATAGAAGGCAGGCGAAAGCGGATTTAACGATGTTCGAAATGATTTATTATTAATATTTTTTTTTTTAAATAGATTTTTCTTTTCATTATCATTTGTTTGTTCAATAGAAAATGGTATATGGAAGACATTGGAATTCGGATGAGAAAAATTTTCATCACATAAATTGAATTTTTTTTGTGATCGCGTTGAATTATTTGATGATCGTGTAAACGTGTTGTTATTATTATTGTTTCGTTTTACATTTGAATTGTTGTTACCATGCCGTCGAGATGACGAGTTCGGTATAGAGCGATCATTACCCGATGATGGAAATATATTTTTACATGAAACAGTAGCACGACGTGTCTCAGTGATTGAATGCATAGAATTGGCTTTTTTCTTTTGGTTTACGTTACATGAATAAAGTAAAAAATAGTAAAAAAATTAATTGTTGAATATGGGTATCAAAAGGACGGTTTGGTCATTTTGTTTAACTAAAAATATAAAATAAAAAATAAATTACATATAAAAATGTGTTTTTTTGACTTCTATAAACATTTCCTGATAATAATCCTGAGAGAAGATAAGAAACAAAGTGGAAGTCATTCCTAATATGCTTAAAAGTACTACAACGATTGGCTCATCTGAATTTTTCTTTTGTTGCACAGTCGCAAACATTGGCACTCCTGCTTCCGTACTGTTGTTATGTGAAAGGTCAATAGTTGTCACTCGCTCTCACCACTCTACACTTGTCTTCTTGTAATGATCACGGATAGTTCAACATCGTTGTGTTCATCGTATAGTAAAAGAAATAGAACCGCGAAGGTCAAGACAGAAAGAACAGAAATTCTTCTTTAATTTTTTTTTAAATATCAAACTTCAATCAATTGAGCGCATTTCTTTCTCTCTGAAACGAGGCTTTTTCATGTGAAAAGTCAATTACTACTTTTTTCGAGTTAGAAAAAAAGACCGAATACGCCGAGAAGTGTATTCATATAAGAACATGACTATGCTTCTCATTTTTCTCCTTCTCTTCGCTATATTTTCTTTACCAATGTATCGAAGGCAAAAAAAAGCGAGAAGAATAAGAGGGAAATAATCGCCTGTTTCTTTTCTGTTCAACGCAACGAAAGAGAAAAAAAATTGTGAAGGAAGAAACCTATGTGCCATGTCACCGTCCCTGGATTGTGCCCTTTTTCTGTTGCTGCTCATCTATTTCCAGTCGGATGATGAAGAGTATTGAACAATGCTCGCATGTTCATGCATCTATTCAGTCAACGCTAAGTTTATTGGCCAACTTCGCGAGAGAAAAAAATGGCAAAAACAGCTCTCTTGGTGATTCAATAGGACTTAACTACATCAACGAATTCTGTAAATTACAAAGAAAACGATAAGAAATATTCGCTGAGCAAAATAATCGATGAAGATGAATTTATATTCACGATAATCCTGAGGAATATATTACGAAAGAAGGAAATTGGAAAACGAGAGAATTCAATGATTATTTATCATTGAAATTCAAGTGCATAAATCTACTGTTTTTTTTCGTTTTATTAGCTTTAATAAATTGTATTTTCTTGTTTCTTTATCACTCGCCTATTTCTACGTAGTTGTAATCTTGCCAATTGTGATTAAATAATCAAGAAGAAAAGAAAAAAGTCTATTAAGAAAAAAAGAATTGGGTACACCTTATAAGAAGACCAAAATTATTAGCATACAACTATTATCTTTTGGTTATCGAAAGAACATTATCATGCAGACCTATAAAGTCGAACAGATAAAAGAAAAGAAAAATAATTTCTTTAACCGTCCTTCAATATCAGAACTCATCTTTTTTCTCTGCTTTCTCGGAGGCCTTTTTAACGCTTGCATGTAATATGTACATGTGACGCCATTGGCTATGAGCACTGACGCGTGAAATATAATGACACTCATTGAGATGCGAGTACGTCTCATTTTCGAATGCTTATGCTGTATATTTTTTTTCCTTCCTGCATGATTGTAAATATCATACAGATGGTGTAAAAAAATACCTCAATATTTGTAATTTATCAATAGTCTATAGCGTGTAAAGAGCATCATTCATCCGAGGAACGTATTGGCCTCTCATGGATTTGCGCTTATGATACCACACAAAATGTTTTTTTGTACTACTTAAATATGTGCTGAACTTTCTAGAAGTTTAAATCAGTTTTTTCGAAAAGAGAAAATCGAGAGGGAACATTTCAATCAGTGATAATCTCAAAAAAGACACTATCTACATCAGAAATTTCTCACTGATTTTGATTTTTATCGTATTTAGAAAAGCTAAACGTCATCAATTCATTATGATTATGTGCCTCTTTTGACGCAGTTTAAATATTTTAACTCTATCTGACATACTTGACTATAAAATACGATGAATAAATAGAAACTTTAGCATCTAAAAAAAAAGCTTGACGTGAATAAAAACAACAACATAATGTGCGCGTTACAAATCTTAATAATTTCATAGCACAAGCTATGCGTGACGAGTCATGCATCGCTATAAGAAACACATATTTTAGAATACGCTACGGATATACCGTTTTTGTTTAGTTTTTTTATTTACGTTATGCGAATTTTCAGAAGACAAAAGAAATGCAGACTGGCAACAGCTGCATGTAATTTATTTCTAGTGCATAAATTTATTATTCAATAGAGAAAGATTAATCGAAAGATAAAAAGGTCAAATACGTATTTCTTAATGCGAGACGTTAAGAATTAGTAGTTCTGTCTAGTCGAGTAACAAAGCGTGTCGTTCTATTGAAATACAAGAATATTCACTTGCAGAAAAGACATCGTTCATTACTCACCGAGAAAATTTTAGTCATGACGCTGAACAATTTATGGCATAAAATAAACAAAGGAAAGTAGTAAATACTACTTCAATTGGCAAGCTGGTGCACACGGAAAAGATTTCTGAAAAACAAAGTTAATTAGTTCTTTAGACGATCGTTACTCTTTATCAATTTATAGGAACAGTATCATGCTGTGTTTTTTTTTGTAACGGTAATACCTAGATTTCTATTTATGCTGTGTATTTTATGTTCAAGGATTTCTTTTATTAAATATTAATAGACGCAGCACCGCATGTTTTCTAGACAAGCATATAGTCATATTGAAATGACAATGTGCGCTTTTACTACATAACTTAAAAACAATACGTTGACGAAGACTTATTACGTTGCCTACGAATATAAAGACGCAAAATATTATTTTCTTTTTCTAACTCGATAGAACAAACCTTTCATTTTTTTTTTGAATTATCATAATCACATTAATCATAACCGATTGCAGTATGCTCGTATATATTTTACAAATAAGTGACTTTCGATAGTAGCAACGTGTAAAATATTTTTTTTTAGTAATACATTCACTTAACGTTTTCCTCTTTTTACCGACTCGTCGATTTTTTGCGTGTTTCAACGTGTAAACAAACGGCACCTACTCTTTTCATTGTACAGTGTGTCTTGGTAACGCCATTACTGTCGACAGTCGTTAAGAACGAAAAATATTCATAAGTACATGTAAAAAAAATAAAAAGGCCGTGGAAAGATCGAAAGAAAAATGACAGGTGAAGTTTTTACTAATTTCATCACCTAATTTTTCGAGACGAATAAAAAGTAACCTTCAGTAATTATCATCACTACATATGAATGATTTATGTTATTGAAGAAAATCATAAATTAATATATACGTTAAAGCTGTTTTTTTTTCGAATTATGAAAAAGCTTTTACCACGAAAGAGTTAAGTAAATAGAGAAATCAGCATAAGATAAACATGGTCATTGAATGATTGGTACAAAAAGAAAGAACGCAGAAAAATCAAGTGATCCGCATTGATTTTATATGTTCTCACTCATATTATTCTACACTAGTTTCAACTACCCATTTCGTAACAGAAAAACATTGAAAAAAAAGCCATCGAAACATATATTCATAAGAAAATAGGGTTCGATTATAATCTTACCGATTCAAAAATAGTTGCTTGAGATAATAATTGCATTCGTTTGGTATCATATTGTCAAGAGAACATTAATAATGTAGAAATAATATTACCTATGATTCGAAAATATAGAAAAGCGCGGGGACAGAAAAATAGAAAAATAGAAAAAGAAGAACACTGATGGCAATCTGATAAAAGTTTTCTTTTCTTGTTTTTACCGTTGATGGACGAAGAAAAACTATCGAGAAAGTATACTAATAATTTTTGTAAGCCATTTGATTCATTGTAAATTGAAATAATTTCTGTTGGTAATGGATTTCCCAGCAACCCTGTCAAATAAAATAAGAGTTTAATTAATCGTGTTTCGTTTTTGTGCAATAGATAGGATCATTAATTTACCTAAAGTTCGTAAACGAAATAATTTACCGATTTCATAAGGTAAGTTTCGAATGGAATTATTCGTTAAACTCAATTCACGCAATGTAATTAAATCACCTGTTAATAAAAAAGATGATTAGAATAATTTTTCACAAAGGGAAAGATGATTTTATAAAACGAAAGCTGATGATAAAGAAAAAAAGAAATAAAATAATTATATTTCTCGCACGAAAAATTTCATTACTATGAAATGCAATATTTCTAATATGATTTTTCAGTCTTGTGAGTTTGATAAAACAATATTTGGCATCCATTTCAATAAATCAAAATAGTCATATCATATTCTCATATTGTTTTTAAACTTTTCTAAAATCTATTCAACAACGATTGTACTTTTTAATATTAACCCCGTTGTAACAAAACGGATTTTTATTCTAAAATTTAATTTCAAAGCATTATAATTCCGAAGCTCATTTATAGACACGCACTAATATTAAGTCTTAATTGAATCAAAAATTCACAGTTCAACTCATAATTAATTTTACAGCCACGTCCGTCTCTGCTGATGCGCTAATAATTTTCCTCATTATAATTTTCCATCTAATACGTAATCCTTTACACTCCAGGCTAGCTTTATTTTGTCTAAAAATTGTTTTATATTCTACAACAATCTAGATCAGCGAAGTACTCATAAGTACCGATAACCCCAAGGGTACGTTAGTATGCATGGCCTAATCATAGGATCAGACATTTGATTTTTATACTAACAAATACAATGATTCGTCAAGATTTAATCCACATCGCATGCCTGAATTCAGACGAATAATATAAAATCTCTATTCTACGTCGTATACTGTCACAGACATATCAACTCAATAATGAACTGTTTGTTACACAGTGGCTATATATGATGCAAGATGTTTGCTAACAAGCCGATACAGACTTTGTACTGTTCACGTTAAACATAGATTATAATCAAAATTTCATTTGTATGATAAAAAAATGAGGTGTATCAAAATATATGAAAAAATTCGATTGCAATCACTTATATTGTTATACGCAGAATAACATTATTCTCTACGAATAAAACCTACCGATTTCTGACGGAAGATTTCTCAATTTATTATTTGATAGATCAAGTGTGACTAGACTAGTTAAACAAACGATTTCAGATGGCAAACGTGTTAACTGATTATCATTTAAATATAAAGCAGTTAATTGTGATAGTGTCCATAATGTTGGGGATAAGTTTCGGACGTTACCAGTTACTTCAATTTCATTCCCTAGACGAGAAGAAAAAATTCAGAAAAAAAATTTTTTTTTCATTATTTTTTATTTCGCTGTTGACTTTTTACATTCATGTTTTTTCTGTTTTGAACCATCGTTTGGTAATGGAAGTGAACTTTTGGTGGACATTTGATGATGATCACTGGAATTTGAAGACATATTTGATAGAGATAATGAAGAATGATATGGATGAAAATGAGATGACGTTTGATGCTGTTGTTGCATGGATTGATGATAGTAATACTGTTGTGATGAATGATTATGTTGTGGATGATACATTGCTGATTGATCGACTGATATCGAACTTTGCTAAATGCAACATATCGGGTAAGAAAATTGAACATTATTTTTTCAAGGTACAAAAAAAATAGCTATTTACATAGTTCAAACTGACACCGGCCATTTATATTATTGTTTAGAATTCACAAAAAAACACGTATATAATTCTGAAATAGAAAAATTATTCATTTTAAATAAAATATTGATTGTAAATTTCATCAATCGTCTATTTTTACTAATATCTCATGATTTATTCAATTGATAGTTTTAGAATTTTCAGTCATCTGTAATCGGGTTCTCAAAATATCTCTTATCTATGTCCATGAATTTGCACTCTATTCGACTAGAATGACGAAAATTAATATGTTTTGATTTTGTGAAAGTTATTGACGACGAGCCAATCATTCACCAGAGAGGAATATACATACGTACAATCTGTTTATTCTTTCAAGCTACAATTACATATATATTTATTTATCCGTCCAATAAGAGCGTAGAATCCACGGAAATTCATTAGAGACAATATATACATAGAAAAAAGTAGCGGATCTACTTGAACATACTAGGAAAAAAAAGAACATGTATGTATTCACTCGTGGGAGTAGAACGAAAGAAGACATGAATCTAATACATGTCGTCTCATAGTTGGATCGAGCGAAATGGACGGCATGGAGAGTTAAAATTTTGAAATTCAAACTATATTTTCGCGAAAATTGTAATTTTATATTCTTACAGTCGCTGTAAGATGTTAGATACTTGTATCAAACGATGAACTATGTCTACATATGTAGTTTTTAATGAATAATCTGAAAAATTATCTTTTTGAAATTATAAAACTTTGCACAAAGATGACTGCGCAAAAATAAATGAGATGATGTTTATCAATGACTGCGTTATTTGATGCAATGGTTATTAATAACGTTTCAAAATATGATTATCTGAGTGACGTTGAGCTATAGAATACGCTCACATATGGCACACTCATCGACCAAATTTAGGAGAGTCAATTTCTTTCTTTATATAGTGTATTAAAGCAGAATGAAAAACCGCACAACACATTTTTATTCAATGACCGACCAATACGACTTAACAACAGCAAAACAAAAAATAGTTAAACAATATCGTAACAAAGAGATGAGATCGTTTCGCTGTTCTCCTCAACTTTTCGGCTTTCTATACTCAAATCACTCCTAATAACGCATTAAAAGATAATTTCCCAATAGCTTTCAATCGATTCTACGATCAGCCGTATAATCATACGAAGCTCATGCTTTTCGAACACCGCTCACGCAGCGAGTATGGATACAAGTCGGAAAATAATTTCTTGGAATCTCATCAAAAATAGCCTTTGATTTTATTCTAACACAAGTAACCGAAATACTTTAGGGGATGCACAATCAATCCTCGACGTCGTTTTCTCAAATCTCTCACGCGTCAATTTTTGTCAAGGGCTAAAACCCTTTGGATACACCGATTTGACACAATCACCGTTGAAAGGAAGGAGTGTAATAAATTGTGCTGTAAGCGCTGAGAAAGCTTTTTATTACTGCTCAGAATATCAAACGAATGGAGTTCTTGCAAAGCAAAAGCAAAAGAAAATAATCTAAAATATAAAGAATAATTCTTTTATTGTTTAATTCTTCATGTTGTTACATTAAAAAGATAAACGAAATCTGTACTGTTATTTCAGCACCTTTAAATTATTATTATTTTTTTATAATTTTTGAGCAACAATTCTTTTTGATTGCGAAAATTCAAAAGTGCACATCACAAGAGCATTTCTTTTTTGTTTTTCTTCTAGCATTGACAATAAAACAAAAACAAAAAAAAGAAAGAAGAAATCAAAGTTAGAAGAGGAATAATAATAAAAATGAATGAATAGATAGCAATAGCTCGTTTTTGTGTGAGTGTGTGTTTGGTTGTTTTTTTTTTGCAATCCAAGAATACCATGAGAAATAGTCTGTTGAGCACGGCAGAAAAAAGAAATGAAAAAGAAATATCCCAGGTTATGTATTAGAATTATTTTTATTCGGATCTATTTCTGTGTTGTTATCCCAAGATAATGGCATCTAAACGAAAGTGAAAATAAAGTCCTTTATTAAAAATTTGCCTTCGTCTTTCTTACTTTATTATATGAAGACATTTTTGAAAAGGAGCAAAGGAAATTCCATTTTTCTCGTAGATGATTCATTACTTCGCGTGTACCATTAGGCCGAGCGAATAAGCTTAATATGTGATCTCCAAGTGGATTATTGTTTAAACCTATTTCATAGTTTCACTTTAATTTAAAATAAGACAAGAAATTTTCGTTTTACCAAGATCGTCAATGTTGAGTTTGCCTAATTCGTATGGTAAATTTTTAAGAAAATTTGATTCCAGATAAAGTCGTTTTAAATGGATTAAATCCCCTAGAAAAAAAGAAACAAAAACACAATTTGTTTTACGTAGACGATGAGAATTAAAATAGCTGCTATTTTTTATTGAAAGAAAATATGAAAATCTTTCGGTCGATCGTAGATATTTCGTAAATGTGAACTCCTCTTTTATTCTCCATCAGCTACTGATAGAATGCGAATAAGTTCTCGTTATACTCTATGACGTACTTTGACATTGCATTTCCGAATGATTTAGTAAAAACTATTAGTCCCATAATAGTTAGAATCAATTTTTGGGAGAAAAATAGCAAGAGAAAATTTCTCGATTTTTAGAAAATATGAATAAAACAAACCGATTTGAGATGGTAATGTTTTCAATCGATTATGTGATAGATCAAGATAGACAAGATTGACAAGATTACCAATTTCTAAAAGAAAAACAAAATGTGATATGAACAAATATTTTCTCTTCAAAAAACTTTAAGTCAAAATAATTAAACATTCATCTAATATAAATCTTACAAGACTAATCTTTCAACTTAAAAATCATTTTTCCTCCCAACGAAAACTGAGTATTGAATATCAACTTTTTTTCTCAACCAATATTATTTGACTTAGTGGATAAAAAAATCTCTGCAGATACCTTTTCAATCGACACTTTACCTACAGGCTATTAAAGAAAAACGCCATGTTTTGTATAATCAATATAAAAATCTAACGAATTTTTGTGTTGCCATTTTTTCTTCAGCATGTATTCGCAAACTAATCATAAACGTATTATATTCAATGCGATAGATAACAATAGCAAGAAAAACACAGCAGATGATTTAAAAGAGAAAGTGCTAAAAGGTCGGATGGAAAATGTCATAAATTATGAGCCCCTGAAAATCTTTGGTGAAAATTTTTTCTAAGATTTGATCAATAGGATGTAATCCGGTATGCGTGCGTAGAGCACAACACATACTGAGGGTGAGGGCGAAATTTTTGACTAAATAGGATTTGAATTTTCGACAATCTACTTTAGACCTTTTGTCTTTCGACATTTTCTCTGTCGACCTTTAACCACCCATTCGTAACCTGTCGAAAGCGATCATAATTAGCGAATATGTAGAATAATTACAGGAGAAAAACTAATAGTATTTACGAAAATGAACTAGAACGGTGTAGATTTAGTTGTATAAACTTGTCGTTGTATAGCTTTAATTGAAAATATTTCATTATGTTTCAATGAGTTGACATTTACGATATTGAACAATCCTATTCAAAAGATCGAAACACTTGATCTTAGCTCATTTCTATAAGTGCTATTACAATTTTCCTTTAGTAATTATTTGATTGTTTTCTGACAATTTTCGTTTTAGAAAGTTCTATGGAGAACCGATTTATATTTGATTATTCAAATTTCGATCCAAAGATGAAAACGATAGGCTACAGAAAACAAAATCTCATACCATATTTTAATGATCTATTTTTATTGACTTCTATAATAAACTTCTTTTATTTTATCAAACGACACTAACCGATATAATAAATACTTTTTTATTTTATTTACCTGCTGGCAAATACTTTAATTCATTATTACTCATAATTAAATATTGAGTATTTGTTTGATGAAATAGAACCGGACTCAATGTTCGTACGTTGCCTTTTATTTCTAATCCAGCTAAACCAGCTTTTATACCTATAAACATAAAGCGTATTCAAATCTTATCAAAAAAAGTTTTTTGTTGTTGTCCTCATTACCATTAATTGGTTCACGAGAATCGTATTCAACTTTTTCCTCTTCTTTTTGGTCGTTAATCATTGATTGCGATTGTGAAAATAATTTTTTATTATCATTATCATCATTATAAAAAAAATTATCGTTAAATTCGTCTGGTAAATATTGATTATAAGTCGATGATTGCATTCTTTTTTAAAAAGAACAATAACAGAAAATAAACCAAAAAATATATAATTCCTTTTCAAATAAAAAAGCTTTTAAATAATATATGATGCCATTTGACAATATGTATATGTCGTGAGTAATGTGCCCGCACACACACGACTATTCAGATATGTAATGTCAATCTAAAAACGAAAAAACTTGGGAAGTTTCAATATATTCTACAAGGAGAGTACAAATAAATCAACTAAAGGAGAATATCGCAAAACAGAAGAGTTCTTCTTAAAGTTGCCATTGACTTGCATTGACATCCAAACGTTGTGTAGACGGACGAGAAACTCCATAATAATCAAGTAAATGTGGTCGATCAGGAAAGAATGTTCGAGATTTGAATACTTTGTCACCAAACCATGTACCTACTTCCCAATTGGGTACGTCCTTCATTAATTTCGTTTCTTCATCACGATTGGCACGATATTGTCGTAAAACAATACGATCTTGTTCAGCTAATAATACTGGCTCAATACATGAACGACTTTCATCCGTTTCCATTTCTGAAGAGTAAAAATATAAAGTTTATTTTCATCGATAAAGAAATGATTTGTTTACCATTTTGCCAATATTGACGTTTTTCGGATGCATAATAAAAATACCCGAATAGATTTGAAGCAAACCAAAGTGAAACGAACGGCCACAGTGGAATACGACGAGCAGGTACTCGTGCCCATGCCATCGGAGCATAACCACCCCGTGGTGGAAGATCTTGTCGATAGACAGCGACTTTAGAAAAGCCCGTCATAATTTCTATAAAAAAAAGAGAAAAACGAATTCAGTTCTGTTTGTTCTGTTTTTATGTATGTAGATGTATCTCTGAGTAAGTTTCATTTTCTCATCTGAATATAGTCGTATCATAACTAGCTTTGTTTTTCTATTGAAAATAAGAAAACTTCTTTTTTTCATTTAACACATTATTTCTAGAGGAATATTTTTTGTCTTTCGCTTTTTCGTCGAACTATTTATTTATTTATCTTTATCAACATACTTATTGATTTATTTTAAAAGAAGAAAGTCACCAGTGACATCTATAAATGATATTTGCTAATGAAAAATTAATAGATCTCGAAAATTTTCATAACCATTTATTTTAGAAATGATTTTAGTTTCACAAAATGAACGAAAAAGTTAATTATCCGTTTAAATCTCTAATTGGAAGAAGGCAAAAATAGTTTCCAACGATAATATTTTCCGTTCTGTGCCGAGCCGTGTGATTTGATTTTTGTACTCATCAAAGATGCTTGCGATACTATATTACTAATATAAAAAACGTTCGGTTAGTACTCAGTAGATCGATCATTGTGATCGATATCACTGATAACCTATTGCATGATACAACATATTCCAAAAAAAAATAAAAGTTTTTATCATCAGTACTTATCATTTGAAAACAGGCTTATTTCATTTGAAATGAAATCAACATCTTATGAGATGTTCAACTACGAAGATAAAGTAAAGAAAACACATCAAATGGTTTTATTCAGTAGATAAATTTGCATTATAATATGATGTTTTACGTAGACCTTCTTAATTATTAGTTGTATCACATTATAGATGAGCACAAATTGAATTATGTATTTTGGATTAGCATTCGAAAAACTTTTTTTTTCAAAGTTCTGTAAAATCTAATATAGTATAACTATGGATGATTTTATTTTGCAGTAGATCTTCGGGAAAAAAAGAAATCAGCAATCTAGAATCAATGAACACTTGTAGCATTCTCTAAATCTATGTCAAGCTTCTAATTACATTAGAACTTACGATACTAGGGAAGATTGAATTATATTTGCAAACAGCTTTAATAATGTCGATCTATAGTCTTTAATTTCAAAGTCAGACTATTACTCTTTCGAATTTTCCCCATGCACTGATAGCCATTGATTATGTATTATCGTTGTAATCGTTCATTTTGGAACAACAACAACAACAACAACAACAACGAAGAAGTTATTACATCATGTAAAGAATTACACTGAATAGATTTCATTCAACAGAAATATTAAAGAATAGAAATCTTTAGCTTCGCGATAGAAATACTTTATCAACATTCAATATGTTACATATGTTGAAATCTATTGTTATCTATAGTATGCTAAGAATTCATTTTAGACAAATGGTTTAATCAAATCTCAACTAGATTTGAGTCTGAGATTAAAGTAATAGAATTCTATTAAATATTGTATAGAAGGATCAACTCGTTTGTCAATGGTAATCAAAACTAGAAAAAGAATCACTATGTATCTTTACTCATTTTCAATAAAAAATTCATGTTGATAACGACGAAGAGAAAAAAAGAAAGATTTTTTTGTCTTCAAAATATACTTATACAGCTCCAAAACTGAAAATCAAGTTACTTTCAAGTGTTAGCATTGTTCTCTATTTTATATATTATTGCTTTATGAGCGTTCCTTTAGATTACTGATAACTGTAAAAATTCAACTTACTGCTTGCCTAAGTTACATTTTTATGATTACTATATAAGAATAAACTGCCTCAAACTCAGATGATTTCATTCGTTTTTGTTGAATGATATTTAGCGGATACAATATGTTAAATTTATCCTGCTTTGTAGCATTATTATTTCTTTCGTTAAATCATTCGATTTCAGCTCTTTCTTGTTACGAATGTGAATCAACATTTCCAGCAAGCAGTATTTGTTTACCAACATGTACTACAAGATTTGTACCGGGTAGCACATGTGTACTTATGCGAAATATTTCATTAGAACCTAGTGACGTAGGATCTCTTCGTGCTGCTCATATCGGTGATGTACCGACGATGCCAAATATTACAGAAAAAAGTTTTGTTTTTGGAGAAGAAGCTGTATATCTAAATCCATCTGCAGCTGTAGGTTGGGATTGGGAATACGGACCAATTACATATGGATGTGATACTGAGTGAGTAAATGGAGTCTTTCAATAAAAAAAAAAAAAAAAAAAAAATATATATATATATATATATATATTGAATTTGTTGCATACCTAGTAATTGTAATCATCCTGAAGATGTTAATCGTTTACCGAATGCATTAAATGCGCGTATACCAAATGCAACGCTTGAACGATTACTTCTTGGCGATCTTGATAGTAGCTGTTATGTTTGCGATACATGTCTCGATTCAGATGTTACTAATACAGATATGTCAAATTGTACAAAAGAACCTTGTCTAAATCATGCTTGTGGTTTTGTTGCTACACGAAACTCACCTAGTAGTACAAAACAATGTAATGCTGGATGGCATTACAGTAGTTATTGTATGGGCTCCCGTGAGGTCGCTCAAGTTGATATGACTCTTATCTATTATATTCGTTCAAAAAGTTTCTATATCTATCAAATGGAAGCTGTTTGTTTACGTAATGATTGCAACAATATGACAACTTTCAAGCAGCTTAAAGATGCTGTCACTGTGGATCCTGATCTTACATGTTTAATCGACTCTAGTAATTCAAGTACAACTACTTCTATTAGACCAGTTACAAGCACTACCGCTAGAGTAACTACAAGCACTGCCGTTGGAGGACTGACAAGCACTACAACTAGACAGGTCACAGGCACTTTGACTGGGCCAACTACAGCACAATTGAGCACAGGTAGTGGTATTACAACTGTATCAAATATACAAATAACAACAACAGGCAGTGGACCTGAACAGCTTTTTGTCAATACAAAACTCTTTATTTTCGTAATTTTTTTCTTTTTATTTCATTAAATTTTAACAATTAAATATCAATATTCCTTTTTTTTAAAACAAATTTATAGAACTTTAAAAAAAAAAAACAATTAAAATAAATCCTACGTAATACAAAGACAGAATTTTCTTAAATGTGAATGACTTTTTTCGATGCACGATGCCGATGATTTATATGCATTGAGTCGACTAATATGATTTATATCTGTAGTAAAACTATGAGATCTCTTTGAATATTGTGTTGTAGCTTCATATAAAGCATTATTTGGTTGAGTTTTAAATGTAATTTGATAAAATATTATACCAGTGCTATTGTCTCCGTATTCTGGTACTCTACCATCAATATCAGACGATCTTGAAAATGTTAATAGGGCTTGATTCGGTTGATATATTTGCGCATTTTCGATAGAAAACAATTGAAGTTGATGACATAAACTATTTTCTATTGATGAAAATTGTTTATTTATATAACTTATTATATTTGTCGTAGCTTCTTTGACTATTGTATCATTTATATTGAGACCTTCCCATTCTAAACATGAACACCAATGTGGTTCTAAATCGATATCATCACATGTTCGCTCTGCTGGTATTAAATTAAACAGAGATATATTACGTTGTTTGATATTATGATTTACTGTGTAATTTATTTGATTCATATTAAGTAATGATACTAGCGTTGCATGAATATCGAAGGGCGTTGTTAAACGATAGATATTTTGTTGTAAAACTTTTATTGCTTTTGAATATTTCGTTTGAAATAATTTTGGAAAAACGAAACTCATAAATGGTAAACGTTCTTCGAGTTTACCTTGCGATGATTCTCGTGCGGTTGAAAAACGTGCCCCATGGTCAGTCATTATTACAATAATAGTCTTTTTGTAGTCATCGAATTGATTGAATTTTTTTAAAAATTCTAATAATGACGAATCAAGTACGGAAGTTGCTGTATAACCGTCGTGTGTGTATTGTTTAAAGAAAGCAAAGAAAAATTTTTTCTTTTCAGGATACGATGACCAAAATTGATCAATATAGGATAGAAATAAATCAAATGATGTTTGATTTCGAATACAATGTGAATTAGATTTATGTAGCAATGCTTTGGTTGTTTCCATGCGATAGAAAGGTGATAGGTAATGATCCGTTGGAGTTTCGTTAAAACCTTTTAAACGAAATGTCCAAATACCATATTCAAGACGATCTTCAGCGTAGCCAGTGACGTAACCTTGTTGACGATATTGATTCCAAACAAATGGATATATATTAACAAATGAAGCATTTAGATCACGATAAAGTGTTGAAGGCAATTCACTTTCTTTGAAGCCTGTTAACATGGGAATTAATTGTTGTGGTGTTCCATCACCCAATATATTGTAGCCTAGTGTAAAATATTTCATTTATAAATTAATAGACGAAGTAGAAACAAGAGGAATGATGCGTCAAAGAAAATTTCTTCTACACTTGTTTTGTTAAAACATGAAGTTTTTTTAGATTTTTAAGATGAAAACATTGCATCAGTTTCCTACTAAATTACACATATTCTACAATTGCTTTCTCAGCGCACGCAGTTTTGAAGACCACTGAGAGAGTGCTGATATCAAACTATTTTGTTGGCTTGCATTTTTAGATGTCGGACGAAGTATTCTAGTATGAAATTTAAAAAAAGATCTCCATATTTATTTTTGTGATCTATTTAGTCGACAAGGGATATTGCGATTTTTAGTTATTAATGCGATGCGAAGCGTAGCATTTATGTAGTCCGTCGCGAGTTTTGTTTTCTACTTTCTCGACGTACGCATCGCGAATCGTCATTTTGTGTTTGTACGATCTCGTGAACAGAAAGTCATAGAAAACTCATTGGCACGGGAGATGAACGTATCGAGATCGAACTTCTGACATATTTTTTCTATTCTTTAATCTGATATTCTGTTCACTCACAAATGTGGTTTCAAAATGACGAAAATGAAAGAAATTTGTTGCGAGATAATTAAAGTGACGTCATGAACATATGTTAGCCACTATAGTCTATTCATTTACAGCTGATCTAAGATAATGAATCATGGAGATAATTAATCGACCAATCGAAATCGATCTTTAAGAATGTATCGCCTAGTAAGAATAGAATACAGTTTTCTCAGTGATGAATTTCATCATGTCGACATAAAAAGTATTCAAGATTTCTCTGAATTGAAGATTTTTCGTGAAGATCCGATTCGAGCTTCGCATCGCATTCGTATTCGAGTGAAACTTGAATACCATCTAGTTTCTCTTGAAATATATAGTAAAAGATATGATGCATGAAAAACTTTGCTTAAGCATAGAACATATTTAACTATTATTTATAATTAATTAGGACAGGATTTTTTCCATAGTGTAAGAAAATGTCTAAATATTGGTTATAGACGTCTCTAGTTGTGATGATACTGTTTATTTTTCTATATTGTAGTAAAATGACAGAACTTCCGTCTCTCCTAATGATAGAATTATCTTTTTTCAGTGCAGCCATGCCATATCAGTTAATATGGGTTTGTTATCTTCTTATGCAAACTGTCTGATAGTTCTATTTAACCATGATCAAAGAGTACTAATCTTTTTAATAGAATTCTACGATTTTTACCTTAAACGACACGTTGCTAAAAAAATATTAATCAACACTAATATCAGAACGAATGTTACCACTTACACATAACTACTTTACCGATAATCACAATTGCCGGTCAAGAAACTAATTTCTGATTAGATATTCATAGTTCAACGTACCTTTCAGAACAAGTCCATTTAATTGTTTAGTTATATAACTAAATGATTTTGGTAACATTCTTTCAAATTGTAATCTTGACACACTATCAAATCCTAAAACAAGTACATTAAAATCATCTTCGTTTTTTTTAATATTTGCCAATCGATCTCGAGTATTTGGATTATAATGTATTGATGCGTAAGGTAAACTAGGATAAATAGCTTTTGACGAAGGATCTTTACATCGTACAGTAAAATAATCACTTATGAGTAAAATGTTCACATTAAAATATAATTGTACTGGAATTTTTTCATATTTTTTATCACCTTCGCCGACATAAAATATAGCAGTACAGTTAAGATAGGGAACAACTAGTCGTGCATGATAATTCTCTATAATAATTGGATAAAACCAGGATTGACAGATAGGCTGATCAGTGTCTGGTATATTAAACGTTAATGTATTAATATTCAATGATAATTGAGGAAAACGACACTGAAATAACAAATGAATATTTTTCTAATTCAATAGGAGAAAGATTTTCTGTGCTTACTTGTATGACTTTATTGTCAACAGTTAACATTTCTAATAATGAAGTCGAAATCACATTAGTATTTGATTGATTATAAATAAGTACTGTAAATGACAGAGTGAGTATTATAAAATATACTCGAATCAATCTATAATTCCATAGTGCTCGTATTAATAAGTTTTTTGTTAATTTTGAAATAATATTTATCAATAGACATGAACATTTTTTAAATAAATAAGTTAAAATACGACACATTAAATGTTCGTTTTCTAAAATATTCATATAAAATCAATAATAAAATCTATATATATATATATATCATTTTTCTATGTTCTCGAAGCAGAAGAAGAAGAGAAAAACAAAACAGCTTTCTGCTCATTCTCTCGTTTGTTAATATAAATATGCTTAGAATTGGTGTGTTAGAATCGTTGGGGGAAAACACATTCGTCATTATGAATTATATATTCGTGATTATGCCGAATCTTTTCCCGCAAGAAATATATGTTCATTAATATTTTGTTTTTTTTTGATAAAACTGAACTTTCATCTCTATTCTCTTACGAATATCTGAAAGAAAACTATTTAGAGTTGAAGGAGATGAAGATTTCTTTTTACTTATAATGAGAACTGATACATTTTATCAAACGAGCGTCTTAAATAATTTAGTGAGCCTTGAAATAGAAAAAAGCGAGGTGACACAGGTACTACAGTATGAGAGTTCGCTACGAAAATCTTTTGCATTGCCTTTCTTTTGTACGAGTAATTTATTTACGTAGCTACATGTTTATTCCTTGCAATTTTGGCCGCAGCGTGTTCTAATTCTTTTTATGTTTCGAAAGATCTCTTAGGTTGCAACGGAACACTGGGCTGAATAAAAGTCGTAGATATTGAAAAAATAGGATTTTTTAGGGAATCGATTACTCTAAAAAAATGAATTGAAACCCAACTGTCAAATTTATTTTATCCGCCAAAATGTTAGATGACGAATGATCATAAGTCTCATTAGTCAATATTTCAAAGAAAAGCATAACACATTTAGTAATAAATGTAATTTCTATTCTTTGTTTAAATGTGTCTCTCGAATACGGATAATTCAAATATTGACAAAGTTCCTTACATAACTATGCGTATTTCATAAGAAGTCTTAATAATAAATTAAAGAAAACAGCTTAATATATGTCATCGATAATTTATGAGGTGTCTCATCAGTGCCCATAAGGTTTGCGTCAAATATTAGGAGCACAGATGAAAATTTTGCAGATGAGAGATGATGTTTATCGAGGGTATGAAGGCTGGATTTCTTTTAATTTGTGTTTACAAAGAGAGTAATTTCGAGTATTTAGCACACACCTGGCAGACATAACTACTCAAAAACCCTTAGTTTTTGCTCGAATGACCCACAGAGGAAATATAATTAACCATCAGACAAAACTACTTCCGAGAGCATCACAAAATAAGATGTCAATTCTTCAATGTTCATGAATTTTATGATATAAATGCTTAACATTTTTATACTGAAAGAACTTTTGGCGAAATTTTCTCTGAAAAGCTGCTTCATCACTATTATAGAAATTAAAAACCTTTCTGATAAGACAAAAAAATCAGTTTTGAAATAGATATATATCATTTGCAACTAGCTTTAGAATTTCAATGCGACACTTTAACATAGTATTGGGTAACAGTAACGTTATTTATATAGAACGGTAAGCGAACAACTGTAGGGCGAACATAAATTTGTATGGTCTTAAGTCTCAATAACATCATAATAGATTATCAAGGAACACCTATAGTCTTTCGTTGTTTGACGCATACTAATATTTTGTACAGATTTTAGTACAATTCATTTTTTTCAAACATAAAAATAACAATTTATCATACTTGTTTATTCGTTTCAGTTCTACACCAGATTAAGTACATATAATAATGTCAGCTGCATTTTCTCTAGTCATGAGTTTTGTTTTTACTCCCATGCTTAAAATTCTTTCGTTAAGAATACATGACAGACGTCCTTCATTTGCCACATCGCTAATTGTAATCATCATCTTTTCTTAGCCACGTTTTTAGCACGAGTTTTTCTATTCTATTCTGTTTTGTAAAGATTTACGAATCAAAGAGAACGAAGAAATAAAGTTTTTTTTTTCATTGTATATTCCATCACTAATTCGGCGTTATATTGATTTATAACCTAAATGTCCTAGTAAATAAATAGCAACCTATAGAAATGTGCATCAATATTCGAAAGAGGATAGTACTGCAATAACTTCTGAAAGGAGTAAAAAGAGCATTGACTGTTAAAAACAGCACCCTTTTTTCGACAGAACGAAAACGAAATGTATGATTGCTCATTATTCTGTTTTTGGCATTTTTTCAGATGAAAAGAAATGACAGCTTAGAGTTAGCGTTTGTTCTAGTGTACTCTATTGATTACAAGAACTGCACCGAACGTTACGTAGTATCTAATCGTGAAAATCAAAACTCGTATATGAAAATAGTACGTTGAAGAGAGATGAAATTCAACGCCTTTTTTCATGAAATTGTTTGTGCTTATTCTATTATTTGTGTGAATTCGATATGAAGTTATCAAGTGTTCATCATTCTTTAGTTTTTCATACGTACTTGTTGTTGATGTTAAAGAAACTGCTTGTACAGATAAGTTTGTATGATCTTGAGAGGTATTATTCAACACTCTTAGCATCAAATCACATATTTTTCTTTGTTTGGTAGATGAAGAGTTCCACGACGTGAGATGGCTCGATGCTTTCATACGGATATGATTAAGAACACATGGGCGATAATGTTCCTATGTAAGAAAGTCGTAGGATCTTTGGCGAAATTTTTCTACTATGGAGACCGATGATTAAAAGTGAAAAAAGAAGACACGATAAAGTCAATAGAGTATTATCATATATTTGTATAAGATTATCGCTTACATAAAGTGACTCATCCTACAGCGAAGAAGATCCTTTTTGTATGTTTATATTTCAAAAATTAGATGAACTAAAACAATCTTTCCGTCGCATTCGAGTTACTTTGATAATAGAAAATTTCAGCTAGATCTATGTTTTTGAAAATTTTATTGGCGAAAAACAATCGGAATATATATTTCATCTTCGATGCTTTTAACATAATCCAACAAGTTATTGTTGTTAATCTTTGTATACTTATTTCGATAGGGAATTCAGTTCACGACATGCTATTTAAAACAAAAACTCACAAAATACGATTTTTTTGACGATTGTACTTAGCTTGTTCGAGTGTGTAGAATGTCATCAGCAAGAATAAAACTGACACTATAAATTAGATAGTTCAAATAAATTCCTTATCATGAGACGTCATCTTGTTTGATTTCAACATACATCGATAATGTAGTTATAACTTCTTTTTGTTTTCTCTGTAAAATTCTTAGACCTACTCTCAAAATCGATTTTATTTTCTCAAATTGGTCAGTTTTTTACTGTTGTAATAACTTGAAGCAAAAGACTGACAATGCTCTCAACAATGTCCTAGTTGTAGACTCGGTAAAATAAATAAAAATACTTATACGGCTATATTTTAGTCGATAGAAAGTATCATTTAATAGTTAAATTTTTTCTTCGGATATTCATATCAATACTCTCTCATGTTACTTCAGTGCATGCAACGAGTGCTGGTTTCAGATGCATTAGTTTGTAAAGGAAAAGAAACATTTTCTGCATGTCTACATCTATTCACAAACTTTTAATATCTTTCTTAATGCACTAACAAGGCAAAAAAAGAAACTTTATACCTACTTGTCACACTTGTTGAAGTCGAACAATATGGTCTCTCATCTCAATGAATTTATTTGCATCGGATATCTTACGTTCGTTTTTAATGAGACCTATCAAGATATTTTCTTCATTGAAAAAAAGGCGAAGGATTACCATAAAAGATGTTGTTTAACGGCTTTTTTGTCTAATCTTTTTTATTCTAGTTTCAGCGCGTTGTTGTCGATTTTTGTTTCATATACGCAACGGGATTTTTAAGAATACAACTACTAATAATAGTACATCAAAAAGAAAATAATCAGCACAAAGAAGTGAAGACTACTGATCTGATGGATTATTTTTGAAAGTATTAAAAATAACATAAACTTTAATTGCTTCGTCAAGGGGATGTTTTCTTTAAAAATACATTGCAGGTCTTTAATGAAGGCATGCCATGACGGAAAGATTATTCTAGCTCGTCTGGTTTTGGAAATATCAGCAAAGCAAAATCTTTTTACATACAGAATTCTCTCGGTAGCTGCTGTAAATAGGCAGCATGTTCAACTGCTGATGAACAAAACGTTGACAAATGAGATACCACTGTCTATCATGAAGTTTAATTAAAACTTAAGTAAACGATAGAGAGAATTATTGAGAAGAAAAAAATAATTGAGTTTTTAATTATTAAAATAAAATCTTCATAAAAGCATCTCTCACTTGATTACGAATGCTATTAAATATAGTTGAGTTCCATTCTCTTATCTAAAAAATGGCAAATATTGACAAAACAGAAATGACCAAAGTGATGTAGATTTCTATGCAGAAAAATCATCGCTCACCGCCATTTCCCATTTTTTCTCTCAAACATCAGTGTTCGATAAGAACGATCAAATAACGAGCTAGCGTGCTTTGTTAGCTCGCCAGACAAAAGCACAAATTGATTTATGCACGATTAGAAAAAAAATAAAAGATTTAACATGATCAAAAGCCTGTTCATTTTTCATACTCAAAGAAATAACAATTTGTACAGTAAATTGATAGCAGAAGTCTTGCCGATATTTAATTATTTCTATTTTATAATTTGGAAGACAAAGTGCAATCTATTGATCAAATTAAATAAAAGAATTTCTAAAATTTTTCTCTATAACGCAGCTCATGCGATGTTATAAATAGTACTAACTTTTCTTGGCACAATTAGAACATGTCGTCATTAATTTAATACCAGAAAAAAAAAATGCTAGTCACAAAGAAAATCTATTTATAATGGATAATGTAAAAACTATGAAAAACAAAAAGTTCATTAATGATCTGTGCCAACGGCAGTTGACAATAAAGCGTAATTGGAGCAAGTGCATTGTCAATTATTTATTTAGAAAAAGCTTGAAAATATTTTCTATCACTGTTGTTCACGCTATTTTACTAGACTTACAAAAATACATTTAGTTTAAATCTGTTTTGTGTGCTACGACAAAAGAAAATTGTTCATTTAAAATAGCACGCAAACAGTTGCGAATAATGAAATATTGCCTTCGAAAAAAAGACAAGCGGGACTTTTCAGGATGTTGAAGTGTCTCGCAGGACTCCAAATAACACACAAGATATTGAATTGTGATTTGCTTGAGTGTTGCAAATGTTCAGTGGATTTGGAAAATTTTTGTTGCTTGAGAAAACAAAGATCTTAACGATGTTTAGCTAATGTACCTATTTGTTTGTAATAAATGATTTCATACAAAACTAAATGTTTCGTCTAGAAAGTTTTTGAAGTTTATATGAGTAAAAAATTGTAATTATCAATCATTGAACATGATTAATAATATTTGCGTTTTGCATCAGTAGTACCATAGAGAGAAAAAGAAGGTCGAATTGGCCTCATGCAACGTGTAAAGAGTTACTGCTGAATACGGCTCCACAGGAAGCGCATAGGAAAGTACAGGCCGCCCATCCATGACGTAAACTACTGGCATCACTGTTGAAAATAAATAATCACTATTTGGAAAAAGACATTTTTCTATATGAATGTACTTTTTAGAGCTCCAATTTTTTTCGAGAGGTTAATTAATGACAGAAATGCGTCTCTGATGTTCGACTCGATGTTTTGCAATGAAGATGCTTCAGAACAAATATAATACATTTCTCAAAAGATGACCAATTTAGTCTGATGAAAGTAAAATCTTTCCGTGGAGTTTTCAATAGAATCTTAAACATTTTCAGAATTGCATATCTTGAATAAACTCCACTCAAAACTGGTCAATATTTCTATAGAAGTTGATTTAGTTGAATATTCAAACATGCCTCCCGAAAATTTGAGACTTGATAAGGAAACTATTTATTATCTTTCAGTCGTAGCAGCTGGTGAGGTTCCCTCGTTCGATACAAGAATCATTGTTTGCACAGTGGCTTATATCTTGTTCTTTACTTTCTATGCGACACATTGATAGATAATAATGTCCACATCAACGACAGCATCACAACGAGTAGCCTGTATTTGGGGTGCCAATGGAATATCTGGCATTGCTATGATTGATGTTCTCCTTAAACAATCGTCAGATGCATGGAAGCATATTATTTGTATATCTCGAAGACCATTTCAATTAAATATTAACGATAAACGGATTCACTTTATTTCTATTGATATTCTTGATGCTACAGTCGATGATATTGTTCATGAATTGGAAAAAGTGAGTGGTCACACAATAACAGATGTTTTTCATTACACATATATCCAGAAAAAAGACGAAGATGAATTAGATCAAGTGAATAGAATTTTATTAGAGAAAGCATTAGATGCTTGTGTGAAAATTGCTGGCCGAACAATTCAGACATTTTCTTTACAAACAGGATACAAAGTAATGCGAAGTTTTAGCTTTATGAAATTTCATTTAGCTATATGATTTATGATAGTATTACGGCGTTCATAAAGATAAAGAAGATTTAGCTGAATTGCCATTTATTGAAGATGCTCCGCGTCATAAAGGCACGAATTTCTATTTCACACAAGAAGATCTTCTAAAAGATTACGCAGAAAAACATGGATGGAGATATATAATTACTCGTCCATCAACTATTATTGGTGTTGCTAAAGGTTTTGTTTTCGTTTAAAGACAAATCTTTTTCTGAAATTGTTTTTTCTTGATGCTTCATTAGGCAACTTTATGAATTTTGCTGTGACAGTGGCCTTATATGCCACAATACAAAAAGAACTTGGTCAACCATTATTATTTCCCGGAAGCGAAAAAACGTGGAATAGAATATCAGATCATTCGACAGCTTCAAATAATGCATGTTTTCAGTTATGGGCAGTGTTAAATAAAAATATTCAACATGAAATATTCAATATGGCAAATGGTGATCTGGTCCGATTTCGAGATTTATGGTCAAAAATTGAAAAGCAAAAGAAATTCATTCGTTTTTCATTAAAACTATCCTTGTCTTTAATAGATATTTCAATATTCCACATCATGAACAAATATTAAATGAAAATGAACCACAAATAAAATTAGCAGAATATATGCCGCAGCATAGAGATGTTTGGATTCGTATTGTTCAAAGAGAAAATCTTGATGAGAAAGCTTTTGATTATGCTACATGGGCTTTTGCAGGTAATAGAATGCTTTCAAGTTTTTGAATTCAATTGTTTAGTTAGGGAAATGAATGAATAATTTCAACAGTTTACTGATATAAGTTGTTTTATTCAATAGATGGTTCTTTAAAGTCAGCTAATGATAGACATGGTGATTTAAGTAAGGCACACCGATTTGGTTGGACAACACAAGCAGATACATTCGATGGTTTTGCCCAATGTTTTGATCGTTTGAAACAATTAAAAATGATTCCATCGTGAAAACCTATCAACTTTTCGGTTCGATTTTTTCTTAGAAATAAATGATGGTCTTAGTAGCACAAGAAATTGGCTTATAATTTATTCTATATTTCTAATCAAGAAAAGTAGAGTTGCATAATATTTCGACAAGGGTGAAATCAACATTTTCATGCTCGTAAAGAGTATCTTTTTTTTCAATTACAGCATTATCTTTTCAATTGAGATCATTGCCTGCTAGTGGATCCTGAGAGAAGTACATTCTATTTAGCAGGATTAAGTCATTTATAGTTCGAACGAAGATGAAACTAGGTCCATTATGCTCATAGATAGATATACACATATCTGGAAAACTATTCTATTTCATATAGCTAAAAAATATTTTACGAATATCTTTACTATAAATATAATAATCGATCCAAGTTATGAACTTAATCTTTAGATATCTGATACTTTTTCATATCCATTATAGAATCTCTATCGTCAAAGAGATTCAGATTGTTATCGTTGTCACCACCTCCTCTCTCAGAGGAGATAGGTTCCTACATTTGCCAACTCAACATAATTCAACATGAATAATATTGTGTTTTTGAATTATTAGCTGATATTTTTCAACTGACAATATCATTAGTTTTCATTAAATGAATAGAGTTACTCGTTAAAATGAAAAGATTTTCATTATAAACGTGCATATAGAAAATAAATAGCTTTGAAAAAACAATTGATCCAAAGCTCCTAGAATTTCCTACACGATTAGATTTTTTTTCTTACAGGAAAGACTTTCAATCAGAAACCATCTGCTGCAACGTGTGGAGCCCATGTGTTTTTGATAAGAAAGATTACTTTGACATTGATAACGCTGCGTTGATCCGTTGGCAGTCATACATGATAGAAAAAGAATATCAAGGTTTTTCTGTTGCAAAGAATACCAAAAATAGCGTATCTTAAAAATACTAAGTTCAAAAACACGTATGAAAATTGATTGAAGCTAAAAATGATTTTTGCTTTGAAAGCAAAATAAACATTTTCGAATAGATTTTAATTAATGTTTCTGAAATTAATTAAATAATATTCATAATGTATGAGTAAAGGACGTCTTTTTACGTTTTTTCTACGACGACTTTTAATTAAAGTGATAACAGCGTTTCATCATAACATACTGTAATAATTGAATATTTATTAAACGTGCGTACGAGCTATGAAGTCGCGCACGCTCTCGCATAGTGGGCGTATCATTCCCTGCATTTTTGTACTTTGTTCTTTACCCTCTATAAAATAATTTGCGTCTATATTATATGCTTCGTTTGATGCCAGAATCATGATATCAAAATGTAGACCGGAATTGAAGAATAAATGCGGAAACATCGGATATGCATCCGATTGTTATGTGTACTACAAAAACTGAGTCGAATTATACATGTTGTGAATAATACTGAGAAAACATTTTTTTTTGAAAAATCCCTGTACTCCCCCTCAGGGATGGTCTGGTCAAAAATGACAATTTTTTCGATAACTCAGCCATTTCTTGCCGGATCTCTCTCATCTTCGAACTCGACTGAGATATTAATGAGATCCTTCTGTGTACAAAGTTTCAAGGCAATTGGATGAGGCTTTCAAGAGCTACCGTGTGAACGACCGGACACACTGATGGATTCTGTAGTGTACTCACATTAGTTTTTTGAGTGCACACAAACAACTACAAATGTCATTGACATCAAATAAAATAATTGCGAATTCCTTCTTTATGTTTACAAATAAGAGGATTGGAATAATGCGACTATTTTAGATTCATCTCCACATCCTATATACGTGTCAGTACATCGATCGCGTCATAGATTATTTCTACCGTCGAATTATGAAATAGATAATGAAAGACGATACTAATTATGATAACTACTTCGATATGCAATGTTATCAACAACAATCTTTATTTTAGACATTAATCTTCTAGAAATATCCCGATTTGTCTTTCCATTCTTCGCTAATAAACAATATTTGATATGCTGTTCGTCAAAAGTCTACAAACAAAACTTATTTTCCTTAATCTCACAATAAAGATCATATATTTGTTTGATTTTTATATAAAAAAGAAACCAACATCGAAAAAAGAAAGAAAAAATTCTGATATACATACAAATTTTACACGAATATCACAAAGCAAGACAAAAGAAAGAGAGAGAGAGAGAGAGACAAAAATTTGTCAAAGATAGTTGATTATACACATATATGTAGACGAAACAAAAAAGAGACACGATAGAGAAAAATTTAAAATGGACTTGTTTCGCAATTTGTCCAAAAATTAGGATTTATTTCAACTTTAGGTAAATAACGTTCAGTTAAAAGACAACCTATCCGTCCCGATGATGATGATGATGATAAATTAGCAGATTCTTTTGGCAAATGCTTTAACCAAACCATACGTTGTATTGAGTAAAGTGTATCTACTTCCAGACGTTGCCGTTCATTAAGTTCACACTAAAAAAAAGGAAAGAAGAAAATAAATCAAAACGATCTTCTTTTTTAATTTATTGACATACACTAAGACGTTTATATTTAAGATTTGAATCTTCAAGCCATTTAATAAATGAACGACCATTCCAACGATGTTTACCACGTTTACCTAATTCTGTATTTGTACAATCATTACTAATAAATTTTTCCGGTAATGATATTGATGGATTATTATAGACTTCATTGTCTTTAAGTAACGAGCAATAGCTTAATGGAGTATCTTGATTAACTGATGAACGTGTTGCATTTCCATATAAACGTAAAACTTCTTGTTCGTGAGATAGAATTAATTTATCCTGAAAAACGAAAAAATTTAATTTATTTTTTTTTGTCTTAAATTTGAGTTTTACTCTTTCGACTTGATGGCGTAATTTCATTTTATATCTTTCATCTTCTTGCTTTGTGAAAACATCAGCTAAATGTGTATCAAGGTCAAGTGGTGATGTCAAACGTTTTATACCAATTGATGCTGGAGTTGTTATTGAATAGGAACTACTTGGTGGAGCAATAAGATAACTTTTCTTTGCCATTGTTGTATCGGAAAAATCTTTTGGAACTTTCGGTAGAACAAATTCATGTAACATTGTTTCATGACGTTTATCAATCTAAATTTACGTTGAACTTATGATTATGACATTAGACAATATGAATGAAACATCAACTAGTTGCGTCTTATTTTTCTTTCGAGGTCATGTTTGAAGTAGCAGCTGCTGCTTTCATAAACATTACATAATTCAAATGAGCATAATAGAGAAAATAGACAAAGAATACTATAAATGTTTTTCAATCAACGATATAGAACAGTGCTATTAAATTCGAGTACAAAACCAAGATTGTTCTCAACAGTCCAATCGCTTTTTACTTGAATAAATACATCCATATCGAGTGATTGCCTTACCATAGTAACGTCCTTCTCTTGAAACAATGCTGAAAAAGGCTTTTTTTTTAAACGTAAATACTCTGACAAGGATACATTTGTTGTCAATCAAACGTCCATACTGTTCTGATGACTGCAAGACTCAACTATTGATGAAAATTTAGCTCGAAATTCGATTCTTTTGATTCTCAGAAATTCTATGATAATAAATTCAAATATTCATCATAAAATATTACGTAATTAGCATTGTTCGAAGTAATGTTTATTAATTGTATGAATAGATCTATACATTTCTATGAAAACAATCGAAAAGGATTACATGTTTTTTTAATTTATTAGTGTAATTCAAATCAGTATTATGTAAGAAGATTTGTAAATCGAATACGATTTACAATACAATACAATTATTTTTCTTGCTTAGGACTAATACAGCTCGGCAATTTTGTTTCTGTCTCAATCATTGATATGTAGCGAGAAAGAACGACACTCAAATTTTATTATCTAATGCATAAAAAGTACTCCATGTTCATCAGCGGATGAAAAATTCATAAGAGCAACAAGATTTTTATATTGATGCTGTAAATCGAATTTTTTCTTTTTGTCGTTCCTCTTTTTTATACGTGTACGCAAAAGCATTACTTCGAGTTACTGAATGAGTATTTGTTTAGATGCAGAAAACTTACGAATATTCTTCAGATAATGATTTAAAGCTGTATTTGTTTATACATGAAAGAAAAACAAACGGGAGGTAACAAAAAAATTTTAGCCTACTATGACTTTACCTTGTAGTAAAACAGACGCATTTTTTTCTTATTCTGATGAATCTCATTTGTTCCTATATTATTAGTAAATTATGTAACAGTCTAGAAATCTGTGTTATTTCCCTCTAAAATCAATCATTGAAACGAAAAGAAAATTATAGTGCAATTAATTGAGACGCATCGGAATGATTTTATGAGATTCTACCATCTACGAATTCTTCGACGGATAAAAAATCCATAGAAACGATTTTTTACCTGTTGGCGAATTTCAAGAAATTGTTTAATACTATTAATTGGTATTTCACGAGTTGTAATTGTTTCTGTTGGTGAACTATCTGCGATAGTAGTTGAGTTTGAATTATTAGATGCATCGTTTGTTAATGATGACGGTAAAGATGTACTCGATATAACAGTATTTCTTTCACGTAATCGACGTTTATTAGGCGGTAATGTATCAATGTCGGGATTCGTATTTGATTGTTTATTATTTGTCATTGAGCTACTTGTACTACTACCGTCACCAGCGCCTGTACTTGAACATGAACTAGCATCATCATGTTGACTTGCTACTGTATGTGATAATTTCTCGGCTAAAAACAAAAATATAAATTTTACTGGATAGACCGTTTTCGAAAAATATTCATACCATTTGTATTCTCTGTTGTTTGATCATCTGAATAACTTGATGTATGAATATCATCATTTGTTGCGGTATTATCCTTATCTTTTTTTGAACGTTCAGATAATGATTTTCGTTTTTTCTCGTTTTCATTTGCACTTAACAAGGACTTTTTTTCTAATGCTCGTCGACGACTCGATACACGTCGAACATTATTGTATGTATTCGATGAACTTTGTATTAATGTTAGCGAATTTACTTTAGCTCGCGCATGTGATCGTAATGTTCGTGTTGTTGGTTTCAAATCACGTTTCGACGATGACGATGATGATGACGATGAAGATGTTTTCGCTGTTGACCGTTCGTTGTCTATTTTAATGGATTTATTTGATAGATTGTTTTGTAAATTACCTGGCTCACCATCGTCATCATCGTCATCATTTTCGTCATTATCATCATCATCGTCGTCGACTTCCATTTGATCGTCTTCAATGATCGGCAAAGAATTTAACTGTTGATCATTGGTGGTTTCGATCTCCGCTATAACTTTATCCAGAAGTGTTGATATTATTGATCGCGGTGACTGAGATTGTGAAAGAGAAGGAGGAGTTTTTTTAGCCTGTTCGAGATTAGATATATGAGAAGAATTTCTATGTCGATTCAATTTAATGATTTCATCTTCATGTTCGTGTTCTTTTATATTTTGGCTTGTTTCAGTGTTTTCTGAGGACGTAATAGGAATACTGGATGACATCGACGACAATAGCTTTTTGTTATGTTCTATCATTGGCATTGATGATGTATCGATAGTTAAATTGTTATTATCCATATTAGAAAGATTTAAACTAGAACGAAAAAGAAAAACAGAAATATGACACATGAAAAAGGAGTATACTAAAAGTTCTTTTTTCTATTAATATTTATATGCAATTTCGAATGATAGATTTTTCATCTCATGTTTTTTTTTACTTGCACTTGAAAAGACAGCTCACCTATATAGTTACTCCTACCTGACTATTTTTCTACTGCAATGTGTGCAATGGGTATGCGCCGAACAAATGAAGGATAGGGAAGAAGAGAACAAGAAGAATGAGAAGAAAGTCGTTTTCTTGCTCTTATGCACACATACACTGCATGTTGCAGTATATATATATATATACTTTTATTCTTTCGTTTCATGCGTATATCTTTAGTGTTTATCGATTGTACCTATTCTTTATATTTTCTTTCTCTTGTTTACATCATTATATAATACCTGAACACAAGAATGACATACTACTCTCAATAATATTCTATTTTGTTTGATGATTTATAAAAAAAACAAATTTATTTAACTCAATCAAAACGGAATAATCATATTGAAACAAGGTTAGTAAACTATTTTCAAAACAGCAACAAAAAAAAAGAGGTAATACCTATCTACTTAATCTTAGAATCAGATAAATCTATTCATTTGTTAGTATTATTGTTGATATAGAATATCTACTAATCGCTGATTATTACAGCCATTTCTTCTGCTTGATTTCTTTCATAATATCTATCTTCCAGTGGCATTCGCAACGACCGCTCCGATGTCGAACACACGCACATAGACAGACACACTTTTTTTTCTGTGTATTTTGTTTGCCCTTATTTCTTCTTTTCTCTCTTTTTCTTCTTTGACACAACGTCTCTCCCCGCTATTTCTCGTGATGTGTTCTTTTACATGTATATGTATGCATACTACTGATGTTAAATCGACGATGTTTATTTTTGGCACACTATTTTAAGTTTCAATGTCTAGAGTATATAGAACACTAATAGAGACATAATAGTAGAACAAATAAAGCATTATACCTATATCGTATGAAGTAAAAAAATCATATTCTATTCATTTATTATTAATAGAAGTATTTATTAAGTCAAAATGATCAATTAATTCTCGAGAAATAAATATGCAATTGAGTAGTAGGAGAAAGCATATAAATTAAAAATACGCATTGATTATGAATTCATAAAAGATGACATAAAGAAATATTTATATGACATAAAATTGATTGAAACTTTTACATATCTTGGCGTGCATGAATAAATGTTGACCGATTTATAAATACTTTGTTATTATCTAGAGAAAATGGCTTCCTTTGTTTTAATAAATAAGTACATCTTATGGGAATAATTATTTGAAATGTATTTAATAGAATACTTCTTTTCTTTTTGCGAGTAAAAAGACAATTTTTCTAATCATACTCTAGTACAACGAAACACAAAAATATGTTAATTCTATTATAACCGAAAAACATCTGTATGCATATTTTCTTTATATAAAATAGAATTTTATAGGGATTTTTCTAATGTTTATTCAGCGTGTCTTACACAAAAACCCTGATTGCATTTGTGTCACTGTGATCGAGACACATGAATGATTTTCTTTCTTCATCCTTAAATCAAGTATGCATGATGAATCGCATTATTTACTTTTCTCGAAACAGTGAGAATCACCCGTTAGTAAGTGTACCCTGTATAATAGTTTTTAATGAATATTGACGATGAATTATTGATAATCAAATGAGAATAATCATTACAGTAAAATTTCCGGATTTAAGCACGAATAAGTATTCATATATATATATATATATAGGTCGTAGTGCAATGCTTATAATCATCTTATCTTAATGTTTCATTCGTCAATGTTTTTCTCTATATAATGGGCACGACTATGTTAGATTTTTTTCACGTTTAAGAACTGAACATAATTAATTCCTAGATGTTTTTATTAGTTATGACTTTGACATTATCGTTGCTATCAGATACACAGCAATTTTTCATTTACATCAAGCAGATTGTTTTCGAGATTAGACAGATCGGCATATGATCAAAGTCATCAGTGTATCTGTAGGCAAGTTATATATCAAATTAAGAGTGTTAGTTTCCCTAGATTATAATTCTAATAGATATTTCGGTTTAGATTATATGTATATAGTTACAAGTTCATATCTAGGGTAAAAATATCGGTAATTAATCAGACTAATTGACATGGCGTTGTCGTCGTTAGCATCGAACAGTATTTAGCCATACGTAATCGAGAAAATGAACCTTGAAAAACTTCAGCTTTCAAAAATACTAAATCTAGTTCGATTAGGTCACAATGAATTTTAATTAGTATAAATCGACTTATCTATTTTAACATTAAACTAAATCTATTCGTTGTTAATCGGTAATTCTTCGGCTTACTCAATAGTATCATGATCAACATGTTCTATAAATATTGAAACTGAACTGTAAAAACATATATGATGAATCATAATGACGTCTTTGTTAAATGACTCTTTGACATCGATGATCTAAATGTTTTACTTTTACTTTTTTCTGTTCTTATCTATTATTAAATAGCAAAGTCCCTTCCTTAGTTATATTTTGTTATTCATGATAATGGATGAAGGTTTTTATGACACATAAAATGCTTTAGCGTTGTCTTTTTCTTCTTCTTCCATTTTTCTTTGGCATGCACTTTTAGAATATTTTACCTTTCAGTATCGGATGTTTTATGAAGAATAGCTCTAGCTAAGACAATTTTCAATGGTGGTACACGGTAAATTTGTAATTGTTCATCATCTGATGTTGATCGAAACTTTTGCTGTTCTTTAAATAAATCGATTTTATTTGAGCGTTTTTTTATATGCAAACTCTCACTGGATGGTATTGAACTTCCACTATTGGCACGTTTTTTTGAGCGTTCTTGTTTACGTACTGTTTTTTTCTTATTTTCATCATGAGTCTAAGCAAAGATTAAGTTTTAAACAAACAAAAAAATTCAAATTACCTCATTTGTCGATTCGCACATTTCATTGTCTTCTTCACTATCAAAATCATATGGATTTTTTCCGGATGATGTCTCATTATTTCCACTTGCTGTACGAGTTTTACTGTATGTTGATGAATCTGATGATTGTGATGAACGTGCACGGAAACGATCAAGAGGCTAAAAACGAAACCATCTACTAAGAAAAAACCGAGATTCTTCTATTTGCATACTTTTCGTTGAATTTTGGCAAATTTCGAACGTTGCGAGAGATTTTTATCCAATTTTTCCACCAGTGTTGAATGAAAATTTTGTTTGTCGTGCTGTTCACAATCATCATCGCTTGTTAATGGTGATAATGAACTAATTGATTCATCATCATTTTCATTATCAGATGAATCAATTACTGATGTTTCACCTTTTATAATATTTAACATTGTTTCATTTAAACCTGTTGAATCTACAGCTGATGAATCAGCTGAATAATTTAATAATAATTCAACCATCTAGACAAAAAAAAAAGGTTTATGTTATGAGAGATTAATCATAGAAATTTCTATGTACCATATTATTACTATTAAGAACAGCATCAACAATGGGCGTTTGTCCTTCGGGTCCAGGTGCATTGGCATTAGCACCGGATTTTAAAAGAAGACGTGCAGCTTTAAATTGATCTTTTGTTACAGCTAAATAAGAAAATTTAATAAATTTGAAAAGTCAATGGGTTAAAGTACTTAAGATTAAATACATATTTAATCCTACTAGACAAATTCTTTCGACGTTAATCCACTAGCATCGACACGAATATAGAATAAGTGAGGAAATATCGGATTTGCATCCGATTGTTATGTGTACTGCAAAAACTGAGTCAATTTATATATGTTGTGAATAATTCTAAGAAAAAAAATTTTTTTTTTGAAAAAATCCCTGTATTCTCCCTCAGGGATGGTCTGGTCAATAATGACAATTTTTTCGATAACTCAGCCATTTCTTGACGGATCCTTCTCATCTTCGAACTCGACCGAGATATTGATGAGATCATTCTGTGTACAAAATTTCAAGACAATTGGATGAGGCTTTCAAGAGTTATCGTGTTAACGGTCGGACACACTGACCAAATCTAGAGTGTACTCACTTTTTGAGTACACAAAAGCTACTTAAATAAATTGAAAGTTCTTTTTCCGACTAACAAAACTAATTTTCAATCACTATTTTGTTATTTCTTCTATATTAAAGTGAAAAAATTAACTTTTTTTTCATATTACCTTCATGTAATGGTGTCCAACCTATAATAGAAAATCAAAAGAGTAAAATAGAAATATCCTATGTATAAAAGTATTTTACCAGCATTATCGCGTTCGTTAACATTTGCTCCAGCTTTAAGAACTTTTCTCAATTGTTTTATATCTCCTTTTCTTGCAGCAATATGAACGATCGTTTCTCCATGTTCATTACGCCGATTTATTTTTGATGGGCGTGGTTGTGGAGTTATTGATGATGGTGATTGAGATTCAGCTATTACATAGAATTAACTTATAATCAAAAGAAAGAATAAAATCAACGTACGATTCGATTCTTCGCCTGCTGTTAATTGTTTAAGTACAGCCATTTGTTGTCGTTCACTGACAATAAGACGATGAGGTGCAAAATCGGCTGCAACAGAGCCTCGTCTTTTATTTGATAGTTGACTGGTAGAATTTGAAGGTTGTTCTAAATAATATATTAAAACAAAAAATGAAGTATATACTACATCAGAATTAGTATGTATCTCTACCTGAATTATCTTCATCGGAATCATTTGGTGAACTAGTTGTTGGATGACGTCGTTTTTTGCCAATAGTCGACATTTTTTAATTATTCATTATTGTGTAACTTTATTTGGATTAAGTGGAATTTTTTTAAGCAGGAGAAACAAAAAAGTTCATTGATTGCCAGATGAATTTTTCCATTGGTAAAATTATTCATTCAATCATATTTTTATACGTTTTTATTAAATATAATAAAGAATAAAAAAATAAAACAACTTCTGATTCTATGCAAATTTTCTCCAAACAGATGCATTTTTCTATTGAGAACAAAACAGATTCTCGTGAATAGATGTCACTTTTAAATCAACTTTGATTGATAGCATATATCGATGTGAATCTTATTTCATGTTGTTTTGTCTCACTTATTTGATTTGAAAATCAGAGAATTCCAAAATGCAGGAAAATCTTCAACGAAGAACAACGATTAATAACAATAATAATAATAATCCACAGGCAACATCTCTCGAAAGTGGAATGCCAAGTGTAGGCTCGATTGTATGTATTTTATTTATTTATGAACGTAAATAAAAACAAATATAATAAAAAAATTCCAGGTATGGACTGCTGGACGTACTCGTGCTCAACAAGCAATAAATCTCTATGCAAATATAGATTATCTTCGGCCTTACTTTGATGTTGAACCCAAAGAAATTCTACACCGGTATAAAGGCGATTTTACTTATATTGAATAATGAATATTCTTTATTTAGATTACTTCATGCATTAACCCCCCGATGGCCATCGCCAGAGGAAGTATGAAAATTTATTGTTTTGCTTTTTTTTATAAATTTAATTTCGATATATTTATTATTAGAATATTAAATCAGAATTATATGGACCATCTATGATTGTTTTTACTTTAGCAGCAATTTTAATTTATCAAATGAAATTAGCAAGTCATTCTATTGTACGTAGAATTCTATTTCATTTGTTAATTCTTTTAAGAAAAGCAATACAATGACGAATGTCTCTTGAGAAGTTTCAAATCGTTTATGATATTGAGCAAAGTTCAATGAATTATTAAATATATATCTATAGAGAAGTATTTGCCACTTTTAATCTCAAGAATTCAGAAGGTAGAGTTGTGTAAAATAGATCTGAAAGAATTATCTTTGAACCCGTCGAATTCTATTCATACTGTCAAAGAAAAAATGTGCGACCTTCCAGAAGAATAAATTTAAATAAAATACAACTACTTGCGTTACATTTTTAATGAATGACTACCTGAAATAAATTAGTTACGAAGTAGTAATAAAAGAAAGAATTGTGTCGAGCCTTTAACAAAAATATTAGTTTAAGAAAAACAATTTTCTTGTAATTAGAATTTTTTTGTTATAGGAAGATGGTACATTAATTGGTACAAGTTTTCTTATTAGTTTTGGTTATTGGATTGGTTCAAGTTTTGCAATATCGTCAGTTTCATTTGTTTGCAATACACATCTTAATCTTATTCAAATTCTCTGTTTAAATGTTCGTCAAAAATGAAGATTTATTTAGATATTAAATTAAATTAATAACAATAATTGATTTTTCTAGGGTTATGCTTTATTCAGTCATTGTCTGGTTCTTTTTCTTGCCACATTTATTCATACGGGCCATGATCACTTATTATTTTACGGTCTCTGGTGTATTGTTGGTGGATTAGCTGCGATGAGAATGGTATATTGACGAAATTGAAAAGTAACCATCGAATTAAATGCTTGTTTCATATTAATAGATGTTTGTCATTATGGCAAGAACAATAAACCCACGTTATCGTGTACTTCTTGGATTGTTTGTTGGTGCAATTCATATGTTTTTTCTACTTTACCTTCATTTTGCTTATCACGAATTAGCTGAAAGTATGAATTAATAATATTGAATTAAAGCAAAACTATTGGCGGATACCTTGAACTTCTTTTTTAAGCTGTATCGCATGCATTCACTAATGAAGCAACTGGTTCGGCTGACCTACCTGTTATAGCTCGTGCTTCTCAATTAGTTGATGCAGTGACACAATCAAAAGGTTATTATCTTTTCTTTTTATTGTCCAAAATTAAGAAAATTTCTTTCTGATGACGATGATTATTATTATTATTCATTTTCTTTTAAAGACATTCCAGATGATAGTCACAATAATTTTAGTATGCCCAGTTTAAGCACTGAATTTATACCGTCAGTTATATCATCAGCATGTAATTAAATGNCCCCCCCCCCCCCCCCCCCCAATGCTTTTGATTATAAGATTATTATTGAATGTATATCGTTGAATATTTTTTTCCTGTTTCATTTAGATCGATTAATGGCACGAAATAATTAAAGAAATGAATTCTTCTGATATTTTACAAGAAATCTCGACATTTATGGTATATAGTTTTCTTATTTAACATCTATTGTGTGTCTTTTTTTTGCTATTCTTCTGAATAAATTTAATTACAGAATATTGTCTATTTGTTGGTGCTTTTTTTGATATCCTAATAAAAAAACCTTCATTTTCACGTTGCTATCAGGCGCATTGTAATATATTGTTTTGGAGAATCAGCGATTACAGAATGTCTATCCAGCAGAATTCTGTGAACTGATAATTTCTTAACGAAAGCAATGCTTATAGAATCGAATTCTACTCTGACTTTTTGAATATGAATCCGACGGAAAATGCATATTTCATTAATTGGACACTAATCAGTATCTGTGCCACCACTAGAGACCAGTCAGCGCCCTAAATATGTGTTCCGTCGGATACGATCGAATGACAATACTGATCATCAGAATATTGATCCACAGCATGGGTTCATATAGGAATTCTTCGATTTTGTAGGAATTCACATCAAATATGATCGGACTGTTGTCGGAATACATTTCTTGAGTCGCTCGAATTTGGAGAATGAAGTTTTGTTATCTTAATTTTATGGGGAAAGGATAGATTATATGTCACATGACAGAAGTTTAAATCGTCTATGCTTGCTGTAAATGTCGTCATTTCTCAGGTTTTTAAAAGTACTGATATCTCTTGTTAACGTTACATTTATGTACAACAATTCTATCTATAATATAGATGATAATTTAAATCTTTCTTATATTCTGCTCGTCTATTTAGCTTCTTCATTAGAATTTATTCTGGTTACTCTTGTTTCGTATTTCTCTACTGATATTCAATTAGTCTTCTGCTTTTGGGACCAAAAATTTCTTTTTATGTGACACTTTAGGTCTGCGAGCAAACCTTGCCGTGTGCAACGCTCGTAAATCCCACTGCTGCTAAGGAGTAATTTGATGTTGATATCTCGATTCTCGTTCTTTACTCTGCGGTCTGTAGTAGGAGCTATTGCTTTTGCATATTTTTTTCGGCAAAATCTTAATGTAACTCTTGAGAAAATAGGTGTTTATCAATTTACCACAAACGGAGATGTTCTCATCTCCCTCAGAAATACTGTAGAAAACAACTTGGATTTCAAATATATTAAATGAAGTTTCGTTGTTGCTATACTGGAACTTTTAGCAAATTTAGTTTCGGCTATCGTTGCGTGGGCTTTATTTAGCATGCGTCGTAGGTAGAGGTGTAAGTCGACGCCTCGGGTGGCGGTGGCGGCTCAAAATCTTTAGATGCTATTTTAAAAAATTTTCGTAGTTTTGAGAATTATGTAACAAAAAACGGAAAATGATAATATAGAATGTTCTTATTAACAGTAAGATCGGAAGAATGCAAAAATACTGTTCCTGAGTATCGAAAATATTCAAAAAGTTAGTATTTCTGCTTATATGACGGCGACTCAGCCGCTCGGCTTACGCCTCTAGTCGTAGGGTATTGAGAGTTGATCCAATCTCTTAAATATTTCTCGTGCCACTTAGCTAAAATAATAATGGGCACGTTAAGTTATTGAAATATTTTGCTTCCTTTAATTTAGGTGATTTATTATTATTATTGAATAATCAAGAACGGATATGAAGAATGCACATATGAATTGAAATCTAGAGGGATCAAATTTGTTTATTTTCAATTAGGTTTTCGATAGAATAGTTTATTTAACCACATCGAAACTGTTCGAGTAAATTAGTCTTTTATGTATTGATTGTCAAATACTTCATAAGTGAAAGGTAAATGGCACAGTTATACATTTGAAATTTTGACACTGTACACGTTAATCATGAGTCATTTACTTCAAACTAAGCACAATTTATACCATTGATTTATTATAGCCATAAGAAAGCTGCATCAAACTGTCTAAAAATCAGTAGCGTTCACAAAAGATCAACGACTGAGTATGGTAACACATACTAAGCAATTGTGTTGTAATGCCGTGTCACTGTCGGTTTCATCAATCGAATCAGTTAGATGAAAATTAATTTGTGTTAAGCTGCTTCCTGCATGTGAAATTATGAAATACAAAAGTATGCTGATCAATAGCATTGTCAATCTTTCCAATAGATGTCAGTGAATACAGCAGCTTAATATAATAACTGTATACTTTTAGTACGTAAGATGCATTTCTCTTCTATGTAATCATTTATTTTCATCCAACATGTGTAACTATTTGACAAAGCGTTATTTCCGTTGTAAAAGGGACTTTATGAAGTAAACTTGTTTTTTACTTTTCCTGCTTCGTCTGTGCTACACTGATTTAAGTGCATTTAAAATAAGACGAATAATTCAATAGTTCACATGTGGCGCTAGTTTGAAAATAAATATAAATTATTTCACAGTTCATTGAAACGGAATCGCGTCATATATCATGAATATTCAGATTCAAAGGTCTTCTCCAGTTTGCTTTCTTTTGAAACATGTCTCGTACGTTTGGTAGGACGAGTTCAATCTTGAGTTGTTATCATACTTGCTGATTGTAACTTTGAGCAAAGTAACACAGATGCCACAGTACATGTAGAAAACAAGATTTTCATTTATTTTCTTTGTTTCAAGTGATTAGATTACCATAAACGCGAAAACAGATGTTGAGCCACAAAAAAATGTGTCGAACAATTGAGCGAAGAAAAAAATATCTCTGTGGAGAATAAATCTTTGCTTCAGTGATATTCACAAACTTTTGAGATAGATCTATGTCTGATATTAATGTATCGGACTTTGATGAACGTGAATCTGTATTTTATTTTCCATAGATTGAAATGATAGGATCTAGATATGGAAATTCACATGTGTCTGTCTTTCTGTAACATTTATCATGTGATTAATAAGGTACACATGGTACGCACTTAAGCTGTGGTACAAAGCACTACTACATCTATAGATATGATGTAAAAGACGAGAACGATAGATGCAGAATGGTTTTGCTGCAACGCAAAGTATTTGTGTCGAACGGCTGTCTGCAAGCTTTTATTTTTATTTTTTCAAATACTTCTACGCCATACGTTTTAGTAATTACCACTTTAACTGATTACATAAGATTTTATACGTGAGTAATGTTTAGTGCTATTTATTTTTTGATAATCGTTATATAATATAAGTATGAATATATATTATATTTATGTTTTTTGATCAGTTGGTTTTTCAGGGTTCAGTGATATCTTCGTCTAAAAACCCTAAATGCATTTTACCAAGAATCGGCGAATCAGAATAATATTTTCAGACACTTTGATGTAATAATTTGTTGCCAGTTACTATTACAATATCCGTAATTATACCAGTTGTCTCGCTATAAGTGAACTGAACGCTTAAAGCAGTATTGTTGAAGTTAACTACATTATTAAAACAATCATTTGGTTGTATAAAACCAGAAATGTTATCGGATAATATAAGGATTAATAACGGTTTTGGCATTTTCAAATTGTAGAGGTGGAAATATAGTGTAACGATAAGCGTATAGGAGTGGTATATTGCTTTACGGGTATAAGAAGAGAGGTTTAAGGCTTCGGGTGTTTATATAGTTGTAAGGTAACATGGGATGAACTGTAGACTTCATGGTGTAGTGATAGTAGTAGAGGTATTTGGATATAAGCATAGGGGCACAGACATAAAGTATGATAATAAGGATATAGATTTTGTCAAGTAGAGTACCATATATGACGTCTCAATGCATTGAAATGTATAGAACGCAATGCACGCAGTTACATGATAGTACAACTGATTTTACAAAAACTCTACAGTATTGCATACAAAGATTACCTAATATTCAAATTAACGCAGAAATTATGCGTCGTTCCTTTAAAATGAATTTTTTCTTAGCATTCTAATACCATAAATTATCATTGCATGAACAATTCTTATGAAGATTTTCTATTTATTCACTTTTTCATTTTTTTTTATAATTAAATTAATTAATACTTTCCGAAGAACTTATTATAATTTGTCTACAATACGAACACTTTATTTCAGATTGTATTTAATGTTAGCTAGTGTTTTTACTTTGACAGTTTTAATTTATTAGCTTAATAATTCAATATCAAATTTTATACAAGAAAAAAAGGCAATTTTCTTTTTTAAAAAGTCGGTGAGCTATATAAATCTTCGTCTTCTTCTATTTCTTGTTCTGTAAGCAATTTTCTGTTGCGATAATGATCATAAATCTCAAGTGTATTATTATCACCGCTTGATGCTACTGATGTGGTACGAGTTGATGAGTTACATCTATTTTTTATTTTTATAGTATCATTATCATTAGATATTGGTAGTGATTCTTGTGGCATAATACTTTGTGAGTATGATGTTATTTTTCTTTCCTTTTCACGTTTCCAAAACCAACGAAAAGAACGAATAAATGATTTTTGTTCAATCATAAAAAATACCATAATAGAAAACGCAAAACCTTGAAATGCATTAACAATACAGAATAGAATATTGCCAATGAATTGAACATGTGCATTTGGTATTAGCACGAGAAATCCTAATATCCAACTAAAACCCATAATAATAGCAAAGAAAAGTCCGATTTTAATATTTTGTATACGTCTCGATTGATCAGATTTTGTTGAACGTAAGCCTACTTGTTCACGATTTCTTATGCATAAAAAGAACATTGTGTATAAGTAAAACATTATATTAAAACAAATAATTACTAATATTGGTATAATTAATCCGTAGAGGAGAAATCCTCGTGATAGCCAACAGTAGTTACATGTTGATGATAGAAATATTTCATCTTCATATTTGACAAACATAAAATACAATGGAACAACAGGTATTGCAAATGTTAAAATGAAATAAATCGTAAATAATGTTTGATCCGACCATTGCATTTTCCATATATTTGTTAGAAATAAACTTTGCTGTAAAGCAAATAAAAGTTTCCATATGAAAGCTGTTAAAGTAAAGTAATAGAGTAATGCTGATAGTATTGTACAACGAAGATTTCGGCCAGGTTTAACAAATGTAAGAATGAAGATAAAAATATTCATTAGAATTAATAATATGCATAAAATCAACAACATGGATTTTACTATTGATAGATATGGCGGTTTGTTCTATAGATAAAATAAGATAAATAAAGAAATGTATTGAAGCTATTATTTATCTGTATACGGGAAGTGACACTTAGTTACTTATATTTCACCTGTCATCGATCGAAGCTTTCCAATGGCCAATAGGCATAGAATCTTATTCTCTAGGGAGGTAGGGATTTCTTTAAAAAATATCACACTTCAGCTGATATTTCTTTTCAATTCATATTTGCAAAAGAAACTATTTTCTCTGTTTTAGGCAAGTTACTCACTTGTTTTTAGAAACATAATAAAAGATGTACTCTTGTAAAATTGATTGAAGTATACTGACTTATTTTGAGAATGATATTATTAGAGTTGTTAGGTAGTGGCGCTATCTCTGACCACTACCTATCTTTTTTCTGTTTTTTTTAATTATGCTGAATTTTATTCGTGACATCCATACATTTTTTTTGTGATTTTTGTACAATTTTTGTGGACGCTTACGAAACAAGTCAACAGATAGGTCTACGATAGCAAAGAGAGAAAGGATGACAAGGAAGAGAAAACGAATAGAATGAAAATCGAAATCGAGGCAGTGATGACGCGGTTGGCGTGCATTGCTGTTCTTCCTTTGATTATTCTTCCGATACCGTACATCTTGACTACGAAGCCACCGAGCCGAGGGAAGGAATCGAACCATCTCCTGCCTGACGAAGAATCAGATGCATAGAACCACTATACCATCCCCGGCTATCTTCTTTCTGTTATCTCTCTATTGGTCATGAGACTGACTAATTGGTTTAACATATGTATGGAGAGAAACGGAATTGTAAAAGGGATTCTAGTTGGTGTTGGTTGGAAGAAATAAAGAGTTAGGTAAACGTAACTATCTAACAAGAGTGTCGGATCTATTCAACGACTAGACCAAAAGTTCCACTAGTTTCTCGCTTCAATAGAATCAACTGATTTTTTCGTGCGAGCATTTAAAAAAAATTAATTATTTGTATAGTATGATAATATTAGGTTTAGTTTTCAAAATCACGTCTGCTCAGCTTGGATGAACCTGTACATAGTAAATATAGCCCAAATTTGAAACAGAAATAAGTTCAAATATAAACAATGACGAATATTGTATTCATGATTTGGTTTTTCGATTCCAGCAGTCTCCTTTATGCATCTGATAAATGCATTAACATTTTGTGATATGACTTTTTAATTAGTCATCCCTACCTTTTGATCGTCAATACAAAACAAAATGCAGCCTACGTGCTTTTCCTTGTTATTACGAGCTATTACTATTACTTAGAATCATCAATACACATTCACTACTTCGCTGTCACCTCTTTATCTCAATGTTCTTTCACGCCAAGTAATAGACTTTTCAAAAAAATACAAAACAGCATTTCTCTACCATAGGTCTTCGTCGAAGTTCTTGACTTAAACTTGAAGTTGATGATGATGCTCCATGAATAGAATATTTTGTTTGTCGGCATAGACTCATAATAATGAACATGACTAATGTTATAGAAAGACCAACAATTGAAAGAATACAACCGATCCAAGTTAAGATTTCCAATGATATTGACGGAGTTGCACATGTTAATGAAAAAAACACTGTAAACATTGTTAGATGTTCACATGTACATGTTACGGAAGTACTGTTTGATAATTTCCGATCTGTTAAACAGCCGTCGGTTTCCCAAATCATCGCCGTTGTATTTAAATACATACACGTACCTATAATGATAGAACCAAGTTTATCATAGAATGGATCTACTTTGATCGCATTGATTTGATTGCTTGAACGATCTGATGCATCATTTGATGATACTTTTTGATCGAAACAAAATGTAACAGACTGATTTTGTGTCGGTGCAACTACTGAAATAACATCGTATTGTGGAATTCGATCTGTTTTATAAAATAATTTTTGTGCTTTAATTGCCATTATTGAATAACGATTTGCACAATTGTTTAATGGATCCCTACAAAAGAAAAATAAATGAGGAAACATCGGATTTGCATCCGATTGTTATGTGTACTGCAAAAAATGAGTCGATTTATATATGTTGTGAATAATTCTAAGGAAAAAAATTTTTGTTTTTTTAAAAATTCTTTCCCCCCCCCCCCCCCCTCAGAGGTGGTCTGGTCAATAGTGACAATTTTTTCGATAACTCAGCCATTACTTGACGGATCCTTCTCATCTTGGAACTCGACTGAGATATTGATGAGATCCTTATGTGTACAAAATCTCATGACAATTGGATGAGGCTTTCAGGAGCTATCGTGTTAACGGCCGGACACATTGATCGAATCCAGAGTGTACTCATTTTTTGAGTACACAAAAGAGTTCGAAATTTGGTTTGTTACTAATCAAATAACTTACGATATATTACAAGTGAATTTAAATGTTTGATTATGATGAAAGTTAAGAAACACACGTGATGTAACGGTTTTATCAATCGATTGCTCATCTGTGATATTTGATATTATTCTATTATCGTTTGTTATTTTCCAACCAAATGTTTCTTTTGGTTGTTGTTCTGTTGGGAAACGTAGACTCATTGTTGATATAGGTTTACTATAATATTCAAATTTTGATGTATTATCCGGAATATTTTTCACCGATTTATCCAGAGAAGTGATTAATCCCTGCCAGATGTTTGTTGGTGGTGATTCTGTTGTTGACGATACTGTTGCTGATGGTAACAATGCTGCTGCTTGTGTGTCGTATATTGTTGACGAAAAAATGTCTTCTGTCCACGGTTTATTAAGCATTTTAGTAAACGTTTCATGAAACATACGCGTAACAGTAGGTGAATTTTCTGTAGCATTTTGATTGGCATCAACTAAGATCGTTGCAACTGAATAAAATGCTCCTGGCTCAAGACTTTTATTAGTATTAGTAGTAAGGTATTGCTGGGTTTCTTGAAAAATGAATGGTTTTGTATAGGATGTCATCGGTACTCGATTAAGAAGACTGGCATCAGCAAATCTGGACGATGAAACACAATCTGATTCAAAATCATTTGCTTCTGTACAGAATGTTCGATCAGAACATTTAGAAGATACACATTGTTTACAAAATTGCTCTTTTCGATTTTTAATTTCATATACGCTTCCATTAAATCGACATACATCGTCACGAATGACAATATCTTTAATTTCATTGCCACAGCGAAATTCACTATCATTGTGTGGAGTTGCTTTTAAAAATTCCATAAATTCACAACTACATGTTTGTATTAGACGAAAAGTTAATATCCATCGAGGTAATATATCTTGACAAGATAACACATTAAAAATAGTGTTTATCGGTGTGGAATCAATTTCGTCAATCTTAATATACGCTAAACTTGGTAAATATTTTATTTCTTGTCGAAAATCATACCAAGAAAATCCATGAATACTAGTTAATTCAATTGAATTGAGTGAAAGTAGTTCTCTCATTGGGTTGTTTAATTCGATTAGATAACAGTTCTTCAAAGAAAGTCTACGTAATTTTGACCTTATGGATATTGATGAAAATGCTTCTTTTGAGATTAATAATTTTGTAGATGAATTATCATAATTATATTCTATAGATAAATGCTCTATTTTATAAGTTGAAAATGATGTAGCATCAAATACAAGATAACCTCCACGATTAACATCGATTAAATGTAATCGATTGATAGGTTTCTCTTTGATTGTTGGAAGAGTAAAATGATTTGCATTAAATAAACAACTATTTAATGTTATATTTATTGAATCAGTATTTGTATCAGAAAGTGCAGCTGACGGATGATCTCGTAACGTCGGTGAACACTCTAATAGATTAGGTGTACGACCAAACACACAAAAACAGTTCGAATCATTCCAAAGCGAAGTACTTGACAGTGATGGTACAGACGCTATTGCTTTGATATAAGCTGCGTTTGGTACGGAATTCATTGGAGTAGTTGTTGTTGAGCTACTAGACTCAATAGTACTTGTCGCTTGTTGAAATGATGCATCAGGAACTGTTGTATTGGCAACGAAATTACCGTAGCTCATATTTAAATGATAGATAAAAATAAAAACGAAAATATGTATTGAGTTGATCATCATGGTATCGATTTGAAGGTTTGATAGGGTAGAGTCTATTGTTAATATACTTCGAATCTCTATTAATTAATATTCTGTACAGATAGAAAACCTTGTTAATTTGAACAGTGATCCCAAGTTTGTAGGTCTATTTAGTCGTGCATTGATTTTGGAATAAATATTGAGAGAAGAGAAAAACACATTCTATATTAATATTTCTCATCTTTGTATTCATATCCAAAATCTTGTGATCCATTTATTTAATGACGAAAAAATGAATGCGAAATAGAGTGCTACTCATGATATCAAACGAGACGTACGCTGTCTGACGGATAAAAAAGAACATTAATAATTATTCAATTGGCATATCGAATTCTGTTCAATGTGAAAAATAACTTTGTTCTCATTAGAATAAAAATGGTTTAATTTGCTGAACGGTATACTCTTTTCCTCTTATTTTTGATTTTTAAATTAAATAACTTGGCAGACGTCTGCGTGTATTTCCTTTTTTTTGAAATGTTGTCAAGAGAATGTTGAAATTTTCTTTTCACCATTTTTGTTGTTATTGTTTGAATGGAAAGAGAAAATCAGCATGACACTTTTCAGTTGCAATGCATTAAAAAGTCCATAGAAATTCTTCATTTAAACGAAGAACGACAAAGAGAAAAACGTTTCATATTTACTATTGCAACATATTCAAATGGTTACCACTGATCCTAGTGAGACAACAAGGAAAGCGTGTGAATAAATTTATTTCCTTTTTTTAGTCGATTATCCTTTCCATGCAGACGAAGAAGGATGGCCTGAAACAGTTTATGATCCAACATATCCTCATGAATATTATTTTGATCTTGGAAAAAATCCAAACGAATTTAAATCGAATGTACGACCTCCAGTTCCTATTCGTCGGCATACTCCAGGTTCTACGGATCCGACACAACCAGAAATTAAAAAGCGAATTGATTCATCAAAGCCAAAAGTAAGATTGTTTTCTGGCCAAAAATCAAATCGATCTGATACTTTTACTATGACTGCTCGAAATAAACCGTCAACGCCAAGAGATCCTGATGAACGACCTATTAAACCAATGAAAAATACAGCTATCTACAATCAACCATCATCAGCGCCAAAATCAACTTCAAGAGAAACGCCCTTTAAATTACCAAAAATAAAAAATACTCCTAGATCACTTCAGCCTGATTCAGTTCGATTGCTACCACCACGCAGACAAAACAATAGTGTAACACCTCGTCGTCCTATTTTTGCTGATATCTATGCTAAGCCATCATCACGTATTCCATCGCAACGTGTTAGATCTCGTATTCCGTTACAACGCGTTAGATCTCGTCCTGTTATTGTTGAAGAATATATTTACGATTATAATGATAATGATAATGATAATGATGAAGATGATGATGAATTCGAACCTTACGTTGAGCCTACTCCAGCGAAAATTATTTCTTATAAAGAAGTATCAGGTATGACAACACGCGAAAGGGAAAACTATATGATGTCGAGAAATCACCATTCTGTTCCCGCTCAGCCATTATTAAAACGAAGAATATTCTATCCAAATTAAACAAAAAGAAGATCAGATTCTAATTGTTATATTTCAATTGTTTCAAAGACAATCGCCTATTTGATTATATTTGCTAGAATGATAAAAAAGAATTTTAAAAAGTTTCAAAGGAATTTTTACACAAATACAATTATGACAATGTATTGGAGTAATAAAATCATGATAGTAGTCAATTGTGATTAGTATTCAAGCATATATTACCATCATTTCTCTTATCTTAATTTATGCGTATGAAAAAATATAGGCAAACATAAGTATCATGAGTGTTTTGTGAAACAGTTTTGTTTTTATTTCGCCTATCATTGTAACTGCTTTATAAAATAAAAGTATTTTTTGGCAAGTATTCTCTAATATTTTCAAGAAACGTAAAAGCAAGTCTACTCCAGCGTCGGACACATTTTGACGCCACACGATACTTTTGCTTATATATCTATGAGGCTTCTAAAAGCTTAGAAGGATTCGTTTCAATCACATGATTATATAGAATGATGACAATTCAATTTAAGTATTAAGCACTGGTAAAATATTTTCGAAAAATCAAAAACGAATTGTTTTCTTCTAAAACTAATTCTGAAAGTTTTCATACAAAAAAATAGATTTCTTCTCGAAATATTCATTGTTGATAGTAAGTCTCTTGTGAGTCAACCGTCGTCCTCTAATACTTCGGTGCAACATCAACTGATATTTCTAGAAAATAGTCATAAATAGTCTAGTAAAATAAATAATATAGCTTGTCGAGAACATTGAAATAGAATTTCGTATAAAAATATTATAGGTTCTCTAAACAAAAGTAAAATTGCAGTTTAAAACTGTAAATCTATACTAGCTGTTCTGTTGCTAAGGTAACTGAGCTGAATTTTTTTCAAGACTTCTCTGAGTGTGCGCGTGGTTAGATTTATCTGAGTTTTATGAATATTTCAATCCTTTTTGTATTGCCTATTTGATGCCTTTTGTGTACTCAAAAAAAGTGCGTACACTCTAGATTCGGTCAGCGTGTCCGTCCGGCCGTTAACACGATAACCTTTGAAAGCCTCATCCAGTTGTCATGAAATTTTGTACACATAATGATCTCATTAATATTTCAGTCGAGTTCGAAGATGAGAAGGATCCGTCAAGTAATGGCTGAGTTATCGAAAAAATTGTCAGTATTGACCAGACCATCCCTGTGGGGGGGGGGGGGCGACGGCACCGTGTGTCGTCACGTGCCTTGTTTCTGATTTCACGCGAGTTTCTCGCTATATGTTCTTTTTCTCTCTATCGTCTTCATCGCTGCTTCTTTGTCGAGTTTTGAAATTGAACTATGTTATGTTTGGCGTGTCTAGTTAGTTGATGCATTTCGTTCTCTCTATGAGAGTGTGAAAACTATTACAAGAGCTTAACAATATATATATATATATATATAATACATTATTTGATTCTATCTAAAATATCAACTATTAAAAGAATCATTCTTCATTTTTAATCTTAAT